TGTTGTGTTAAATAAAGTGAAGGAAGGAGAGAAATAACGTTTTCCTAGCAGTTTTTAAAAATTTCCCCATGTAATCCGATTAATCAATTAATCGTGTCGAGACCCCATCCGATTCATCGATTATCCAAATAATCGTTTGTTGCAGCCCTAGAGATGATTACGGGTGACACTGACAAGACCACATAAATGTTTTTCTGATGTCATCGCCACAAAGTAACACATGTAACACCATCAAACAATATCATAAGTACCAAATAAGCGGTGCTACAGCATTGTTGTTGTTGTTGTTTTCCATTCCTTTGGCCTTTGTGCATATCTTGTTTATACAGCATTTGTTTACTACTTGTGTTACTAGCTAACTGGAAGAATGCGCACGGGGTTCGGGGGTCACAAAGAGGGGCCCCGTGGGCCGCCTATTGACGACCACTGTTATAGAGTTTTCATTATACTTGTGTGTTATTGGGATTTTATAAATACAATGCAGTCTAGCCTTCCTTTGAAATCAACAAGACCTTTTCAAACACACAGCACCAATTTCTGGATACTTTTGGTCCATTCTGTCAAGATTGTTGTAGGGGTTTGATTTTCAGCAGGTCGTCTTCATCACATCCTGAGATGATGCCATGTCATTGGGTGATTTAGTTATTTGCGTTAAAAGTGATTGAACAGGTTTTGAAGTAGCCAACTACTATATGTATATTTTATTGCACAGATGTCAGAAAGGAGGAAAGTGAGGTATGGAGGGACTGGGCTTTCTCAGCCCTAGCGCTCACTTTATCCCTTGTTTTATCCATTTGTTTCTACTTCAGTGTTTTAACCCTCTTGGCACTATTTTAATTGCTTTTATTATCTATTTATTCATTCATTGTGATTTACATTTCTTATGTTTTGTGTAAAGCGCCTTGGGCTTCCTGACAGGGTTGCGGAAGGCGCTTTATAAATAAAGCTTTGAGTCGAGTTGAGTCGGAGGTAAGAGAGATCACACATAAACATCAGTTTTAGACTTCAGACAAACTTCCTTCCTGTTTCTAAAAATGTTTTTGATATTTTAATGTAGAAGCACACAATAATGCACATTGAACTCTGTTTTGCAACATTTTGTAGACCCAGGCAGCCATGCACCGTAACCGGTTAGCAACATATTCTAGTGCTTGAGGGACATTTTGGTTCTGCTGCATGCTGGTGATGACATGGGAACTGTTCACATTTCACTAAAACATGTTGTCTCCTAAAGAATATCGCATACAGTCTCTAAACATTCCAACTTTGCTTTGTTCAAAACGAGTTTGGCTCAAATACAGACAGGTTTACATTGTTAAAACACCGTCCACCACTGCAGTCTACAAGCTATCAAACTGCCAAAGGGTCCTTCCTCTACAACGGTCTCTCACACTCGGACTGCAAACACAAGCTAACAAACGTCTGCGGTGAGATGTTCTTTAGGGGTTTACCTTCTGTACTTCACTGTCTCTTTGATGCTGACTCGGCTCATTTAAATGCAAACTAGTGTTGAAGTTGAACTTCCCTGAGCGTGATGACATCAAATCAGACTGGAAAAGAACATGTTAGGGATTATCCACGGTGCGAAGGCTGGTGGCGCTGATGGGCTTTCGCGTGCAAAGAAGCAAACGTTTACTTAGGAGCCGTTCAGTTATAAGTCGTAAAAGTAGTGTAGAAAGCAAAGCAGCTTTCCTTAAATTGTAATACTAGAAGCTTTTCCAAGGTTTCACTTGTTTTAAATTAGGCTATTACAGTAGTTGGGAAGTTTTTTGTACTTGTGAGGTGTTTGTGTGTCGAAAATTATTAAAACATTATTTTTCGTAAGATCCTCCCATTAGTCGTACAACCTCAGATAAACAACATTGTATAAGAAGTTTCTTTTTGCTATTTATTTGAAAATAACTCTGATGAAGGGAGCTGTGTCTAATCTTGTAGAACCAGAAAACTCTGCACGGTCTGTGTAACTTTATCACTCTCTCACATCTTTGTGTGTTGCGTTTCCTCATTTTTTGTTAGGTTGTACATTTCATTTACACACACCTTCCCTCATGTCCATGCTTCAGTCCTGTTAGCTTTAGGTTTATTTGTTTTTTAAATCTGTTGTAAATGTATTAAAGTGCGTTAGAAGTTTAGTTTTGTTGCTTGTTACTGAAAGGTGTATACTTCAGTTTCAATCCTGTCCTGAAAGCCTCACACTCACTGCAGAACAAAACCAGCAAAAAGATTAATAATTAAGAAAAGTAGAAACTCAGTCACATGAGGATAGAAAAGTGGCAAAGAGAGAAAAATAAATAGGAAGGACAGCAGCTAACCACAAAGAGACAAACAGCTGATTAAGAACCGCATCTTCTCATCTACTGCGTCTTCCTCCACTGCCTGAAAGATGCGTTCTTGAGAATAATCTATGAATGATGATGCTAATACTGTTCAGAGGATTTATGGGTTCTTACTGAGAGTACGAGAGAGGGAAATGTGTGTGATTAAAAAAGATGACAGGAAAATAGAAATGCTAATATTCTAGGATGTGTTCATCATGTTTGGGTCAAATTTTTGGACGGAGCTTGATGACAAATACTGATTGAGACGTTGTGGTCTCTAAACCGAGATAGAAAATTGTGCGTCATTAACTTAAAAAAAACTATTCTGTAGTAACGGATTTATGATTGTAACGGAATTGAAGTGATGTAACTATCTAAAGTTGTATTTTAATACACTGTAAGTAGTTCACTTTTTATAAACAGAAGAATAGGCTGTTTTTATCATCAGGGAGTTTAATTAAACACTCTGTATTGACTTTGAGACAAGAAAAGAGAGAGAGATGGGATCGTTTGAGAATCTTTAATTTCTGAATTATAAATTCTAAACAATCTACCAGGACTACCTCTGTGATGGATGAAAATGGATTCGGATGTTGTGTTGGTGCGTGTGTGTGTGTGTGTGTGTCTGGTTCAGACTCTCTAGGCTGACGTCATTGAATCTGGTCGTCTTTGTTATGACTAGATATCACGAGGCTTATAAAGTGATGACATGAGCTGCTATTTTGCCGTGTACGTACCCAGTGGGGGTCTCCCAGGTAGATCAGGAAATGCCAGGTCTGGAGACCTCGGATGTACGCTGGAGCTGTCGGTGAACGTTTCAAAGCCCGTCTGGAGGGTCGACCCCGGTACCGTTCGGCGGCGTCAGCAGGTGCTCTTATTTTGAAAGGACGTCGTCTGGTTGTTAAACGACGAAAATCTCCCGCTTCACAGTTCTTAGTTTAAAGACGAAACACATCTGGCCAGGCTGCGCTTTTCTTTAGGATGACGGTGAATAGAACTGAAGTCAAAATGGAACTGCCTTAAAATGGCGTTGCCTTGTTTTATATCTCTGAATTGTTGATAAGTTGTAGTAAAGCGGATTGGACACTTGAAGTCAACACCAGATTCTCCTGCGGCAGCCGAAAGCTCTGATTGGTTGGAACAATGTGTCATGCGTTTCTATGGAGATGAGGATCAGTATGTCTGTGCCGTAGTCCTGTTTTCATTAAACATAATTCATGACATATTTATTTCACAGATCATTCACTTGATTATTGTTGATCAACATCTGTTTTGCTTAATAATTTTAATCACAAATAAAGTACTTTGATTAAGTAAAGTTTCTTCTTCTCCTTCGGACTCTTCTCCTGGAATGTAAACAGTCTGAGGAACACCCGACCTTGGTTTTTCTACACGGGTGTTATTGTGCACAGGGGGCAGCTGTATGGAGTTGAAAACAATGAACTTCATAACCTTACATGATGCATAGTTTGAGGATTATACATTTGTTCACCAGCACAAAATAATTGTGTAATAATATTACTGCTATTGTGAGCCATATGTTTCATATAAGGCACTCTCACTGCTGCTTGTTGTGACTGTTTAATTGTCCTATTCTATGTGAAAAGTAATGAGAACAGAGAAATGTTTCCACCCAGACCTTTTTAGATGTGACACACTCCGAGCCTGATTGCAGTGTGTATTCATAAGAAGAAGGAGCGTTAATGCCAGATATTTCTTTTGGGATAGTTTTGAGTTTCAGTCTGTAACCATCACTGTTGTGTTAGCGTTGCTAGCATGTTAGCATAGGAAGGCTAATTAATATCAGCAGCTGTTTGTTTTTCTTTAAGAATTAGGTTTAAACTTAAAGTAGTAGTGCGGTTAGTTCAGTAGCAAATTAGTGTGAAAAACAACAGTTAAAAAATAATGTGATAAAGTCATGATTTTAATAGTAAAATATAGTCTTGTGATTTTATTTACTTGGATTATTGCCTACTCATTAAATCTTGTTTAGTTTTATTTCATTTATTTTCTTTTCCCACACAAATGACACATAAGTTTATTTTGTGTTCTAAAAATGTTTTAATAGTTAAATTTAGATTTAGCAAAACAGTTTTTATTGCAGGGAAAAAAACATTTGAACATCTTTTTTGCAAGTTCAGTCTTCATGTTTTGAATGAATGTATCAAATACTGGTTATTCTGAATACTGGTCATCTTTATAAAAAGCTCATTTCAGCTCAGTTGAAAAGTTTTAGGTCTATAAACCTTTGGTGTTTACTGGCGTCTTTGTGGCAGAAATCTAAAACCAAACTGACCTGTTTATATTGTTACTACTGCCTTTAGCTTGTAAACATTAACTCAGGTGTTCAGTGTTGTGTAAGTGTGTGTCGGAGACGAGTATGAATCAGCAGAAATGATCATCTCTGCATACAGCCTGGTGTCTGAAGGCTTCCTCATATTTCTTTTGGTTGAGGACTTTTGTCTCAGTGTGTGTAATTATGATGAAGGTTCCTTAAGAAAAATCCATTAGTAATCGGGTAACAAGTGTTTATTAAAATAAGGTGTGTGTGTTCTTCTCCCTCCTCTTTGTCTGATCTGAAGACACACCCTCTTCTCCAGGTGTAGATCTCAACCGTCCTCTCCTCGTACTCGTTATTCCGTCGCTCACACCGCTCTCCTTTTTCTCTCTTTCAATTTTCAGTCTAAGATGCCCTGAGTGGGAGAAGAGAAATGTAAATGGCTTCCAAAGTAAAAGATGCTGTGGTGTGGTACCAGAAAAAGGTAAGACTCTTTCCTTAAGTCCCAGTGACATAAAATCTATAAATGTGCTTTTGGGTTTAAATTATCTGCATAAAAATATTTGAGGGAGAGCAGGACTGAGTGAAGAGCAGTGTGCTACGGATGTATTTCACCTCTATCTAGTCTTAATCTGGCAAATAAAATGTTCTTGAGGTTTTCATAAATAAAGGATGCTTTTATTTAGCGGAACTGAAAGGAAACATTTTTTTTAGTCATACAAGCTTACCATTGTGTTTATTATGGGTTTTTGCTCTTATTGTGTAGCTTTTTTAGTCTTTAGACTAAACTTGTTTAACATTTTTAAAGTGTGAAAATTTCAGACGATCACATAAAATATGGAACCCTACAGATACAGTAAAGCTGCATCCTGAATGATGAACTTAGGACAATGTCATCATGTTCGTTTTAAAAATATCTCATGGGAAATCTGAATAAATGCAAAGTTCATTAAAAATAAGACTTCACTGTGGGGAAAATGTTTGCCAGAAGAAGATCAGCGTGTTTTTCTGCAGAAATTGTGAGTAAATATTATTGTTCTGTATCAGTCAGAGGAGAACAGATTAAAAATCACCCTCGGACGTGTAAAAAGCTTCCTGATTCTGAGTAGATGTCAGGTTTTATCCTCCTCGCTGCTGTCAGCAGGTGCTTCAGCCGGGTCTTCACCAGGCTGGTGTTGTATGTCCTCTTGTTCCATCGTCTCATATATCAGATCCTCTGCTGGACTCCTGCACTGCTTGTCCCATATCGCTCGGCTTACACGCTCATCTGCCTCCACATACCTGTCCACCTGGTCCTCCTGTCAGCCACTATCTCATCCTCAAACCCTCTGTGGGTTCCTGTAATCTCCTTCTCTCTTTGCCCTCTTAAGATGCAAATCTGAGCTCTGATCACAGCCAACATCAGAAGTTACTCACGTTAAAGGTTGGCTCTGAAAACACAAGACAAACAACAGAACGTATCCATTGCTTCAACTTAATGCTAGAGTATGAACCAAAAACAGAGAGGTCCTGGTTTGATTAAGGACTCAGGGCATCCAGCCTGGGTAGAAGCATCACTGGTGACGGTGCTCTGTGACTCAGGAATGATTAAACCTTTGACGAGAAGTTACACCTGCTGAGACGATGTCTTTACCCACACCAAACTGTTTGGAATAATTAATTGCTTGTTTGCTCACTGCGATTGTGAGCTATAGGATTAGACGACATCACAGGTTTCAAATGGAAAACAAATCATTTGCACCTCCTGACAGCTTACTTTTAAGAAAGCAAAACAAGTGCTGGCAGTTAGTAGGCTCCAAAAATCCTGCCAAATAATCAGACTCTGCTTTTTAAAGGTGGGATTTATAGCTAGGAAATTCTTAACGTTCATATCTTCTCACTGAAACAGGTTTCCTCCTGACTCTGCTGATTGATTGCATCGTGAAAGTATAAAACTTTTACATTGAACAAATCACATAAACTTGCAGAGAAGGAAGAAGAGAACCTGCCTAGCTCATGAATTAGGTAAAGTAAGCCTGAAGTCTGTCCGTGCAGAGATGCATTGCTGCTAAATTATTTAAACAAGCTTCTTTTTAGCACCGTGAGCGCAATACGCCAAATTACTTTCACCAAAGTATCGGATTTAAACCTGCTGTCTGTTTTTTCCACTACTTTACAAGTCAGGAGAAAAATCTCCAATCAGAAATCTTTGTTGTTCAGAAATTGCGTAAAAAAAGTTAAGAATAAAACAACAACAGCTGATGCCAACATCTGCTGATCACCCCCCCCCCCCCTGCAGGCATTGAGTCACAGTGTATTTCTGACTGTCTGGACACGGGCTGCAAATAGACTGAGCTGTGTTTGTGTTGAGGCGGTGCTTTTTCTCATCACAGATTCCAGTCAGACCCAGATCTCTGATGGCGACCGTGTCGTCTGTGTCTGCTAGGAGCCAGAAAGGCTCAGGGTTCAGGCCTGACTCCGAGTTTAATGAGGTTAAAACAGAAGCTCGGCTTCTTTTGGAGATTAATCAGCTTAAAGCTTTGAGTTCATGCTGGGGTGTGTGTGTGTGTAAGAGAGAGGGAGAGTAGTGGGTTTTAATGATGTTAGCAGACCAGTATGTGTTTATATTTAGAGCTTGGGGGGGTGTTAACACTTTTGATCATCTAATATCATGTTTAGCTGAGAGTCCAGTGTCACTTTTCTCCTTTTCATAAAAATCTGCAGACGGAAACACTGTTGGAATTTAAATCTGGCTCATTATTCATAAATGCATCCATTTATCCTACAGGCAAGTGATCGTCAGTCAGTTATAATGTCTTTATGGTTACTTAGATTTGTTTTTACATCTGGAGTAACTTATGTTCATGTTTATGTATTAAGCAGACGCTTTTGTCCAAAGCGACTTACAAGTGAATTTACACAACTTGACTCGGAGATGCCGTTAATACCGAAACCTGTTCTTAGATTTAAGAATTTGAGTCTAAATTATTTTACTTGTTTACTGAGATCCGTGGACTCCTGTAAAAAGCAGCTGAAAACTCACCTGTTCAAGCTGGTTTTGGTGTGACCTTCATCACCCCCTCCTTGTTCTGCTCTCCCCACCTATTCCACCTTCCTCAAGATCCGCTAATTTCCCTTTTTCCTATTCACTCTCTCTTTCTTTACATTTTTTAATTACAATTGTCCAATTTTTGCTCATTTTAAATATAGTTTTAATCGTTTTCTAAATTCTTTTTTATTTCTTACATTTTTTGTTTTTGTGAAGCGCCTTGTGATTTTTATCTTGAGAGGCGCTAAAGAAAAGATCTTTTCTTCTTTTAACTTTTAGCTTTTCAAAAATCTACCAATTAGATGCATTGTTTACCACACACACGCACGCACGCACGCACGCACGCACACACACACGTTTCAGCTAAAAAAGGACCTCACACACATTGTCACCATGGTTACTGTTTGGAATGCACAAGAAGCGTTTGTGTTGGCAAACAGCTGTCCAGCAAAAGTCTCTGACATTTCAGATAATGAGACCAATTTAAACTTTCATAGAAATTAGAATTAAGAGTTAAAAGTTTCAGTGTTTTAAGTTAGTTTGTCTTTTTTTACTTTTGAGCTTTTGGTCAAAGGTGTGATTTAGGTTTTATGGTTTGAACAATGAGAAATTCATTATCAGGAATCAGACTCTTCTAAATGAGTGAATCTAAAAGGTGTTTAGGGTTTTAGAAAAGATTTTCCTCATTTGTTTTGTTCTGAGTGAAGTTCCTCTTCTCATCCTCTGACTGTGAATGTCCTTGTGTACCTGTAGCACGGGACCACACCTGAACACACAAATGTGAGCGTGTAATTCCCACACATCGGAGGTGGGATTCCCATCAGATGTGTTACTAGAGGGAAGTTGGTGGTTGTGTTTTTGACAAGACGGTATCTTAGCTGGATGCTGAACAAGGAACACATCTAAGACAATGGAAAATGTTGACTAAATATTGACATATTTAATGGTTTTGGAAGCACATAAAGTAAAAGTCACTTTAAAAAAATGAATTCTCATTATAAAAGGTAATGCTTAACAGCTGACGAACTGGAATCTGGCCTCTGGATGACCATGGATCACTTATTTGCCAAACTGGATTTTTCTTGCCACACAAACCACCTCCTCCTCTGTAAACCTGTGCTGCAGAGGCTGCTGTTATGTAATCCCCTCCTCCTGTAGTCATGGTGATGCTACTATTGCTGCAGCGGCGCCCTTCGTCTTGCCTGCTGCTTTGCTCTCAGTACTTAATTTGCCTGTCAAATATCTGAAGGATGGCATCTTCCAACTCCCTAATGCCGGTTAATCCGAACCAAAATCTGTCAGATGATTTCTGTGTGGTTTTGGGTTGTTTTGGTATAAAAGCAGAAGAAAAGATGCAGAAATTGAACCGTGAGTCAAGAGAGATAATAAGGTGTTTGCTTATCAGAGGCTTCATTTATTGTGAGAGGAGCAAATGAGGTAAATAGATAGGCGTTTATGTGTTTTTCCTTTTTCCATACCTTGTTTCCTCCTCTCTACCCCCTCCAATCTTCCTGCTCTGTAATCTGGTCATGTTCGTCCTCCAACTGTCTCCTTCATGCTCTCAGAACACATTCTGGGTGGGGAGGAGGTGGCTGTGGGTGTACTGGCTGACTGGTGGGTTGATATTAAACATTTATATAGCTGGCTGTCACAATCAGTGAGAATTGAATATAAATTAGTTCATATTTTTAGGTGGTTTTAAACATTTTTAACTCGCGCCTGCTGCTAAACTACATCTCTGTCTAAATCCTTATCCAGCACCAAGACTGTCAGCCAGCCACCATCAGTCAGTGTTTCATTTTTGATAATAAAGCACTTTGTACACTTTATCATTAACACTGGTTACCACCTTCAAATCTGCATTCAACTCATCAGCCGCTCTGATCCTGCAGCTCTGGCTGCACAAAGGTCTGACGGGTTCAGCTCAGCTAAATCATGATTACGTTTTTAAAAATGACAGTAGAAGCACAATAAGCACTAATGTTGTTGTAGAATTTCTAGTTGGATTCAATGATTTGAGCTGCATAAAACACATCCAGCATGTTTTAGTTGCTTCCCAGAACTAAAACATGCTGGAAGTCAGCCCTCCAGGACTTGACTGAGCACCTCTGGTTTAAACACCACAACCGGTAATTTATTAAAGTTTCTGTAGATTGCATGAAAGTTTAAAGGTCAGATGGTTACTGGCCCTTCAGTTGACCCATCAGAAGCCTTCAGTGATGTTTGTTTGGGGGGTTTCTTTTGTTTTGTGTCATGTTTACAGTTTTTATGATCCTGTGAAGAAAAGTTGCTTTTCTAATTAAATTAGAAGTGCTTTAAATCTGTCTTTAAAACATACTGGCTGTTTTTATTTTGTTCTGCTGGGTGATATGAAGGGTGTCTAATTTGTTAGAATAATTTAAATGTCTGTATTAATCTGTATGATGTCATGATCTGCGTGTTAAGAGTTAAATTAAGGTTGATTGATAAACATTCTACCGTTGTTTTTAAAACCGTTGTTCTGATTTTCAGAAACGGATCATTTTGCACGTGAAAAAGCTTTGCACACATGCAGAGCTCGTGTCTTCTTTCCTCTCTGCTCCTGTCTCCATGTTCTTCCTTCCTCGTCTTTGCCATCTCTCCTCTTTCCATCAATGTTTAATGAGACCTCATTAAAGATGCAGACTTTCCACTGGCAAGCCCTTAGGGTGACTCCATGCCTGGGACACACGGGTGCAGCGATCTGCTGAGGTCAAGTCGGACAATGTTCCCGTGACTCTGAAACACACCACCTGTTTCATCTTTATATGGTGGATCAGCACATGGCCTCTCTATCATCTTTCATTTGTTATGTCTGCATTTAACCGGTTGCATACAAACTACACTGACCCATGTGATAAAAACTAGTGCACAGAAGTCTCAGTCCTCCTCCTCTTCTCTCCATACTGATAAAAAACGGCTGCAGAACTGGATCATGTGTTTAAAAAAAGTCTCTTTCAGACTAAACTCCATCTGAGGCTCAACCTTTAAGCCAGTTTCACAGGCCCTTCACTTCTGTACAGAGACAATAGAGACACAATAAGATTATGAAGTAGAATAGTGATTTTAGTTTTCTTTAGGCTGCTGATCATGTAGGATCAGTTCAGGTTAGAAGCTGGTCCTTTTAACGGGAGCCGGGGCAGGTTTGTGTTGGGGCGACGGTGGCACAGGAGTTAAGTGCTCGCCCTGTAATCGGAAGGTTGCTGGTTCGAGTCCCGCTCAGTCTGTCGCTGTCATTGTGTCCTTGGGCAAGACACTTAACCCACGTTGCCTGCTGGTGGTGGTCGGAGGGACCGGTGGCGCCAGTGCTCGGCAGCCTCGCCTCTGTCAGTGCGCCCCAGGGCAGCTGTGGCTACATTGTAGCTCATCCCCACCACGGTGTGAATGTGTGTGTGAATGGGTGTGTGAATGGGTGAATGACTGATTGTGTTGTAAAGTGCCTTGGGGGGTTCTAGGACTCTAGAAGGCGCTATATCAAATACAGACCATTTACCATTTACCATTTAAAGTGTCCCAGACTGATGCATTCTTAATCCATCACCTCTGAAGCCATCACCACTTCTGCAAAAACAGGGCTCTAAAAGTAGAGAAGTAGGTGGTTGGGACTGAATCATTAAGTGGTTTTATTGAGAAAGGACATCTTCATATCTTCTCTCTGCACTTCTCCCTTTTTCAGGATTCATTATAATTGTTTCTGGGTGGTTGTTTTGTTTTTTTCAGATTGGCGCCTATGACCAGCAGATATGGGAGAAATCGGTGGAGCAAAGAGAAATTAAGGTCTGTTGGTTTAGTTTTTGATCATTTCCCTCTTGGCCCTATACTTTCCTCCAGTTCTGTACCTATTTTCCTGATTTCTCGACTCATTTTGCTTCTCCTCGACAAGTCTGCTCTCTGTTAATGTTGCCTCACTCTTCTGCCATTGTTTATTTTCTATTGTTTTGTTTTTAACTTTTTTCTTTGGCCCTCCGAGTTTGGGTGTCACCTACCCATTTCACTTCTCTCGTTCTCCTCCATCCATCATTCCCTTCTCCCCCTTCTCTCTACAGTTTATTTCTCTGGTGAGTACACAGCAGGGAGGTTGACCCTCTCGTATCCCACAGTGCATGTCTGCTCACCCACTCTGTAGACGCCTAGGACGTGGTTGGTTGGTTTGACATTAGCCGTGTATACTAACCCAGCCTTTGCTCACACGGTTGTGCAACTCTGCTGCGGTTAAACTGGCTGCAGGGAAACTAAAGAGCAGCCAGAGTTTAAAATGAGGGAGCTGAGTTGTCTGGGTGTGAGCACAGCGTGATGAGTCACGGCATTAAGGTGACACGGAGCTGCTTGTTTTATTTTTTTTGCATGATTGTCTAAAAGGCCTCGTTCAGTCAGGGATGCAGAAATAAGTTCAGGGTTGTGTAGTTGGTTCCTGTTGTGGGTCGGAGGTGTTTTTTTCCCTCAGCACAATCTATGGTGCATTTGCAACAGAAATGTGTTCATCTTCTCTTCCTCCGGTAAAAATCAACTGTCATCTTCATCACTAATGATCAAACTTACCTGTTAAACTAAAAGCTCTACTTTGCCTCCAATATTCAGTGGTGCTTTGATCCTATTTTAATCTAAGTGTAGTAAATGTGTCTCCTCTACTCTTACAAAGACATGTTTTTATACTGAACACTTTTAGTTTAATTAAAACCAACTTGATTGTTAGTTTTGGGCATTTGAAGAAGCGAGAGTGTCACCCAGAGCCAGTGGCAGCAGGTTTCGCTTCACTTTTCTTATTGGAACCACCTGCTTCTTCACTAGCTGTCTGCCTGCACGACTTCCTCATACCACCGACCTATCAGACTCGTATACTGATGAAATTATGTCACCGATTAGCTCACTCCAGTCCAAGATGTGTGTGTGTGTGTGTGTGTGTGTGTGTGTGCGCGTGCGTGCGCTGTCTTCTCGATCCCCAGTGAGTCGTGGTGGATGGCTGCTTATACTGAGCCAGGATCCTATCCTATCTGCTTCCTCTTCAGCACATCCTGAGCTTGTTCAAAGGAATCTCCTACTGTCTTTACGCAGATGACATCCAACTGTACATCTCCTTTAAGCCCCATGAGATGTCTAAGCTGCAGCTGTTACACACCTGCTTAGACTCCATTAAAACCTGGATGGCTGGGAGTTTTCTACAGCTGAATGAAGATAAGACTGAGATCCTCATCTGTGCTCCAGACAAGCTGGTTCCCAAAGTCAGAGACTCTCTTGGTCAGCTTGCTTCCCGCACCAAACCTTCCGTCAGGAATCTTGGAGTGACCTTTGACCCAGCTCTCACCCTGGATTCTCATGTCAGTTCTCTTGTTCGCTCTTCCTTCTTCTATCTCAGGAACATTGCTAAGCTGAGTCCCATTCTGTCCCGCTCTGAACTTGAGACAGTTCTCCACACCTTCATCTCCTCACACTTAGACTACTGTAACTCTCTTTTCACGTGTCTGAGCAGAACCTCCCTGAACCGTCTACAGGTGGTTCAGAATGCCTGTGCTCGGCTTCTGACCAAGTCCTCCAAACACACCCACATCACCCCGCTTCTCCTCCAGCTTCACTGGCTGCCAGTCAACTTCAGGGTTCATTTCAAGATCCTGGTTCTGGTCTATAGGGCCTTACATGGACAAGCACCATCTTACATTGGTGATCTTCTTAGTCCCTACACCCCCAGCAGGTACCTGAGGTCCAGTGATCAAAGCCTACTGGTTGTGTAGCACCAGGCTAAAGACCAAAGGTGACAGGTCATTTGCTGCTGTGGCCCCCAGACTCTGGAACTATCTCCCCCTGAGCCTGAGATCAGTGGACTCAGTGGTCTCCTTCAAAAAGCAGCTGAAGACTCACTTGTTCAAGCTGGCTTTTGTATGACCTTCTTCACCACTCTCTCTTTATTCTGCTCTCCCCACCTATTCCACCTTCCTCAGGATCCACTGATTTCCCTCTTTACTATTCACTCTCTCTCTTTCTTAACATTTTTTCTTTTAAATCCCAATTGTCTATTTTTGCTCATTTTAAATATATTTTTAAACATTTTCTAAATGCTTTTTTATATTTTTACATTTTTTTGCTTTTGTGAAGCGCCTCGTGATTTTTATCTTGAGAGGCGTTATAGAAATGATATTTTCTTCTTCTTCTCTGGAGGTTTCTTCCTGTTAAAAGAGTGTTTTCCTCTCCACTGTCGCTTTATGCTTGCTTAGTATGAGGATTGCTGTAAAGTCACTGACACTAGTCAGTGACTTGATGCTGGGTGCTGGGTTCCTTATATAGGAAACATTATTTCTGATTGGCTTAATGAACTGACCTGGATTGGAATGTTTATTAAGTGAAGTGCCTTGAGACGACTCTTGTTGTGATTTGGCGCTATATAAATAAAATTAAATTGAACCAGAACATTTATTCTGACGTGCATCACTGCTGTCAACATGAAAAGGAGCATTAAACTTTACCTCTACATTTAATCATGGTGCTTAAACTCATTGACACGTTGTTGTCTACTTCACAGTGCTTCTGTAATTCAAGTTTATTTATATAGCGCCAAATCACGACGAGAGTCGTCTCAAGGCACTTCACATAGTAAACATTCCAATCCAGGTCAGTTCATTAAGCCAATCGGTAAACAGTTTCCTATATAAGGAACCCAGCACATTGCATCGAGTCACTGACTAGAATCAGAGTCTTTACAGCAATCCTCATACTAAGCAAGCATAAAGCGACAGTAGAAACGGGTGGAAAACACACACACACACACACTTGTGTGTGTGTCCTTTTTCCTTTTCAGTCAGTAAATGGACATACACAGTCTCATTAGAACTGTGACAATACAAGGTGTGTGTGTGTGTGTGTGTGTGTGTGTGTGTGTGTGTGTGTGTGTGTGTGTGTGTGTGTGTGTGTGTGTGTGTGTGTGTGTGTGTGTGTGTGTGTGTGTGTGTGTGTGTGTGTGTGTGTGTGTGTGTGTGTGTGTGTGTGTGTGTGTGTGTGTGTGTGTGTGTGTTTCTGTCTGACTCACCCTCATTAAATGACAATTATTCCATTTATGAGCTGATAAAATCTGAAGCAGCTGCTCATAAATCTGGAGAAACTCTTTGGTGTGACTTGGTCTATTTTTAGCTTTATCAGTTATCCCTTTTATTATCACAGCTCAACACAGTTAGAGCAGCTGATTTTGGCTTGGGCCCTTTCTAAAACACATTGACTTGATTTTTCTCATCAGAAGCTCTCTGTGTGAATGTGAGGTGCAAAACCAGCAAAACAGTTTCTGTTCTCTAACAAACATGTAGTTATGTGCTAACTGGGAGCGCTCTATAGCCTGCAGTCCAACCCAGTCATGCTAAAAGCGGTAAATATAAGTGAAGAAGAGTTATTTATGACAATAACTGGTAGCGATTATGAAGCATGTCCAAGTCGTCGCCCGGTCTACAGATTAAAGTTGGCACGTTCCGTTGTATACGTTGTAAGCTATGGCTAACCTTGATGAATTTTTTTAGTATTTTTTAGGATATTCCTTTTGTTTGTTTGTTTCTTTACGTGTCTCTGAATCTAAATGAGTCAGTGCAAAACGAAAGGACTAAGTTTGATCTGAAATCATAAAACAACAACCATGGAATCAGGCTGTCATGTTTAAATGCTGATTCAGAGACACAACATGAACACATTAAAAAGTAAATCAGCATTTCCACCATGCATCTATGCACCAGTGACTTGTGTCTCAGTGCAGCGTCAACAAAAGCAAAGAAAAGTGCTAAAATTGACCTTTGTAATCCAGGAAATAGGAAGCTAAGCTGAACTTCATGCAGGTGCCTCCTGGTGCTGCTAACTGGAAGTGCATTATATGTTTATGGGTAAACATAGTATGTTTATATGTAGAAACTATAAAACACAATCGAACCTGGCTTTATGACTGATGCTGCAACGGCATAACAGAAAGCCGTTTTTATCTCTTTATTAACAAATCCTCTTTTAGACATTAATCTGATTATTTAAACAAGGCAGATTAATTAACTATCGCTGCAGCAGTCGGTGAGTGAGTCAACCTCTAATGTACGAAGATAAGAGGTAATAAATGGCTCAGAGAGGATGGGAGTCCTGCTACTGAAGGACTTTAAAGCTACAATAAATCAACAGACAAGAGGAAGCTATTGATCAGCTGCTTTTACCCTTGCACACACACACACACACACACACACACACACACACACACACACACACACACACACACACACACACACACACAACTTGTTGGCTGTGCTGTTTAAACATACAGGACTTTAGATCAGAGTGTGACTGATAACAGAACCTTATTGGTTTCCGGCTGACTGATGGGAGTTACGTTTCAGAGAAATCAAAATAATATTTTGGAGCTCCTAGGATTAGCCCACTGACACGAGACTGACCAGTGAGTCATATTTTTATTACCACTGATGATATAATTATGTTCTCATAGTTGAAGCATCATAGCTGGACTTGCGAACCCACTAAAATCAAATCAAATGGATTACAGTAAAGTATCTATTTTATTTGTATCTATTCTAAAAGCAGGTACAGTTAGCATGGGTTCTTCTTGAGATTCACACATTAAAACATAATCTACCATCTTTGCTGGTGTTCCCTGGGACATAAAATCAACAAAGCACCAACTTCACTACAGATGAAAAAGACTCGACCGGTTTCAAGGTCTGACAGAAACTTCAGACCTAATCAGAAATGGCTCATAGAGGCTGGAGGTCGATGTGATCCTGCTAGAAGTGACAGATTAGAGCCTGTAGTGGTGTGAATGCACGGTGTGCCCCCCTCCTTCCAGTCAACGTGTGTCTCATGAAGAGCACCAGAGGCATTTTAGGCGTGTTTTCATTTCTGCACAGTAAAACATTTTGTCTGTCTTGTTGACTCTCTGCTCCCCCAGGGCTTGAGGAACAAGCCAAAGAAGACGGGACATGTCAAACCAGATCTTATAGACGTGGACCTGGTCAGAGGTATGAAGTCACGTTGGCCACACGTTTTTGTATGACCTTCTTCACCACTCTCTCTTTACTCTGCTCTCCCCACCTGTTCCACCTTCCTCAGGATCCACTGATTGCCCTCTTTCCTGTTCACTCGCTCTTTCTTAACATTTTTTTAATCCCAATTGCCTATTTTTTGCTCATTTTAAATATATATTTTAAACATTTTCTAAATGCTTTTTTATATTTTTACATTTTTTACTTTTGTGAAGTGCCTCGTGATTTTTATCTTGAGAGGCGTTATAGAAATGATACTTCCTTCTTCTTCTACAGATTTGTTCTAAAACCTTTTAAAATGGTTTCTGTATCAAAAATCTGTAACAACATACCACCCTGTTGAGTCGTAACCTCCACTCTCATTGTGTTTTAAATTATTCAAGCAAAGAAACGTTCTCCTTGTAGACGAACGAGTGATGAGGAGAAAAGATTTCTGCGTAGATTAAAGAAGGAGCAGATGAATAGATGATCCCAGAACAGAGTTCATCAGCTTTTGTCTGATTTATTTTTTCAGGTTCAGCATTTGCTAAGGCCAAACCAGAGAGTCCGTGGACGTCGTTGACCAGGAAGGGCATCGTCAGAGTCGTCTTCTTCCCGTTTTTTTATCGATGGTGGATCCAGGTCACCTCCAGAGGCATCTTCCTCCTCCTGCTGTCTCTCTATCTGCTGCAGGGTAGGACAGTCCACACTTCTGAGACACTTTATAGTTTATTACGGGTTTACAAACATGTCATTGCTCCCCCCTGCACACAGAACTCACTAAGGCCCTGTCCACACGTAGCCGGGGGTCTGCCAAAACGTAGATATTTTCCTACGTTTTGGCCTGTCATCCACACGAAAACGGAGTTTTTTCACACGAAAACGGATCTTTTTAAAAACTCCGGCCAAAGTGAAGATCTGCGTTTTCTCCGTTTTGGGTGTCTGCATGTGGACGGACAAAACCGGAGTTTTAAGGTCCGCAACGTCACTTTCCGCGACAAAAAATGCTGACATCACGTGTGCGACCTGTGTTTACACTAGCCGGCATCATGGAAGCCCTCAGAGCTGTGCTCTGTCACTACCCGATCCATCAATTGTCCAAGCGCTTTCTGCTTGTTTGTTTTTGCAAGCGGAATTACTGCTCCTTGCGGAAGACCACAGACGAAGGACGAGGTTAAGAACGGGGGAAGTACTGCCGCCTACAGGTCTGGCATGTCCATAACAACGTATTTATCCGGGTACGTGTGGACAGAGTTTGTTTTTAAAACGCGGTGGTGTGGATGCAAGTTTTTGGAGGGGCGGATATTCGTTTTCAAAAAACCCCGGCTACATGTGGACTAGGCCTAAAACACACCACATGCTATCCACCTCCTACACGTGTGTCCTTTTTCTGACCTGAAGCAAATACATCAGCCCCTCCACCCTTCCTGCTCACTCGTTTCCCCCCCTGAGAACACACATCTCACACACTGTGTTGCTTTAACTTCAGCATGCCCAGATTAAAGTTTCACCTGCAGATATTTGTTTACAGAGGACAGACAAATCAAATGCTGAGATAAAAAATAAACTCGGGTCACTTAGATGACACGTGTCTGCAGAAAAAAACAAGTTATATGTTTAACTTTTCACTGGAAGTGTGTGTTTATGACGAGGGACTAAAAGTGAATTAATTCAGGCATGCGTTAACAGCATTTGTACTAGAGTCATAGATGTAAAATAGTTTTTATTGTTCGTAAAGACTTGACTCACTTAGGCAGGAAACCTTGATGAAACCGACTCAGAAAAGCAAATTTCATGTCTTTCTGCTGTTGTTCATCTTCACCTCAGTGGCAGCAGCAGTCCTGTACGTGACCATCCCTCAGCCTCATGGGATACCAGCTACAGAGGTGTTTGAAGCCATCTGGCTCATGCTGCTGCTGGGAACCGTCCACTGTCAGATCGTCTCCACCAGAACCCCCAAACCCTCCTCCAGCAGCGGGGGGAAGAGACGCAGGTAAGCGTAAACGGAGTGATCCGAGGTTAAGATGGCTGCAGCGACGTGAGGGAGGGAAAGCAATGGAGTCGTGAGATGAAACGCCTCCGGAGAAGGCAGATGGGAGGAAAAGACAAGAATACAAAGGAAGCATTCAGAGGAAATAAAAACCTCGGGACAGGAAGAGAGTAGTGGAAACTTTTAGTTTAATTATTAATGAATACATCCTTTGTTGCTGTTGTTTTTCTGTCGGCTTGTCAGTCAAGAGCTGCTTGTTTATTTAGGACACTTTTACAAGTTAGGTTCATCAGGAACTCGTGAAAATGAACAGAAACCCAGACGTGCGCCCTAGAGACAGTCTGTGAGCCTGTGGGAATTAGACTTGGTTACGTTTGTCATCTTAAAGAATTGGACAAGATTTATGTTTATGTGTAGCTAAATTACTTAAAAACTCCCATCCTGATCATTTGTTGTAAGTTAGAGAAACGTGTGTGTGTGTGTGTGTGTGTGTGTGTGTGTGTTTAACTGCATTTTGAGTTTGATCTGGTGTTTTATGCTCGTCAGTGTGTGCTGCTGTTTCTGCCTCACAATGTTTTGCAGACGATTTTCAAACGGACAGAAAATTGGACCGTTGTTGTTTTATGAAGCGTTGAGATAAACCAGCAGCAGTCTCGTGTTTTTTTTATTTTTATTAAACACAAAGAAGCATCAGATTTCTCTAAAGAGCACCTTGTGTTGCTGTTTTCATTTACACGATAAACAGAATTTATGCTGTCAGTTTGATTTACAAAACATTAATAGTTAGTCAAAGCAGAGAAAGGGTTTTGTGTCATGGTGACCGTGTGACTCACTGGCTAGGATGAGTCAGAGGAAGAGTTAAAAACAGCTGAGCAGCTTCTAAATGTTTCACTTGTGTAAGTAATTTAACTAGAGATCCCGTTCAACAGATGTTAGAGAAAGTCTCTTGTAATGCAGATTAAATAAGAACCAACCAAATGTCTGTTTTCTGTCAGTGATCATAGAAGATTTATTTATGCTTGTGAACTTTGGAAACAATCATCTTCTCGATAATTCTTCTTTCTGATAATGACGACAAACCTTTTCAGGGTAATTCTGCAAAAGTAATAATTAAAAAAACACAAAAGGTTCTACTTTTGCAGAATCAAACCCACATACTGATTTTTGTGTGTGATTACACTACTTTTTGTGTCCAGCGGGTGCCAGTTTCTATCATTTGTCCCCATGGGGTTTTAAATCCTAGCAGACGCGGTGTGAAGTCTGCCCGGTGCTCGCTGGACACGATGCTGTAGTTTAAAGATTCTCAGCCTCTCTAAGTCTCTCTTTGATCTCCGTTCTTTCCAAACTGAAGGAAGTTGAGGAAGGCATCTCAGATGGAGGTGCATAGGGAAGGAGACGGGTCTAGTACTACCGATAACACACAGGAGGGGGCGCCGCACTCTCACTCAGCCAGCTCCACTTACAGCCTGGGTGCTTTCTTCCAAGATTTCTGGCATGATATCTGTAAAGCTGGGTGTGTATTTTCATTTCTTCTTGTGGTGAGTTGATGTGGCGAGGCAAGGCTGTGCTGCATTTGTTTACATCTGTAAGGAAGCCAGCCTTGCCTCAGACTGGACTTCGGTTCATCCAGCTGCAACATCCTTCATCGCTCTAAAGCTACCCGTGTGCAGGGAAGCTGGAGACAAAAATAAGGCTTCTCTGTTCAGTCTGGGTATTTCGGAGCAGTGGAAGGATTTTGCAGCTATTTTGGATGTAATTAACTTGTTGACAAAAGCAGGTATGCGGGGAGGTTTCAGCTGAGAAATGTTTTCATGTTGATTTTATTTGAAAACGGAAACGTCACCTCACCTCCCTGCATGCCTTCACCTCATCCAGCTGCATTCGTTCACCATTGGGTCCATTTTTTTCAGCTGATCAATAATTTAAATCATTTCATTATTTTACCTCCGAAACAGACAAATTGGCTTTCGTTAGAACAGCGTACTGTTCGTGTTGAATGAATGTTCCGCTGTGCGCCTTCCTTCGGTCACTCCTTTTCCTTCTCCTCCAGATCTAAGAAGTCCAAGCTTTCCATCGATAAATCAACAGAGACGGACAACGGCTACGTGTCTCTGGACGGCCGCGTGACCAATCGCAGCAGCGAGGAGGGACTCCAGCTGCACGAGCAGCGGTGCGAGGCCCTGAACCGAGGAGATGAAATGTGCTGGAGCCCACACATCCAGCCCCCCCACATCCACACAGCCCGCAGCTCAGGGCTGCTCCTGCCCACTAGCAACAAGGTAAGAACTCAGAAAATTCATAATTGCATTTGTTTTTAACACTGTGAGCTGATTTATGACGTCGGCACAGGAAAACACAGAAACTAGTCACTGGTGGATTTTGCTGTTTTTGAAGGGGCCGGCCTCAGATGAGGCATCGAGCGAGGAGGACCCTGAGTCGTCCTACAGCGCCCTCCGCAGAGGAGCGGAAAGAAGGAACAGCGACTGCACGCTCAGAAACCGCAAGAGTACTCACCATTACAAGAAGCACTACCACGTGGAGGTGATCTACACATTTCAGTTTAAAGCGAGCTCTATTCTCGTGTCTATGTGTGAGTAAACTTCTGTTGGCCGTCTGTCAGGACATCCCAAAATCTGGAACCAGCTGCAGCTCCAGATGTTCCAGTCAGAGAACTCAGGACTCTGAGAGCACTCGTCACGAGTCTGAAACAGAGGACTTGATGTGGGAGGACTTCCTGCACTGCGCCGAGTGCAGATCATCCTGCACCTCAGAGACGGGTGAGAGGACGGGTGTTGAGCTAAGCTATTAGAGGAGCATCTCTAGAGTACAGCCTGTAAATCTTCCTTGTCTCGCCTTCCTACAGAGGGAGAAGGAGGAGGAACGTCTGTATGTCCTCCTGGTAAAAAGGAATACAGAGATGACCCGTTCCACCAGGTGAGTGAACCCGATCAGATGCACCTTGTGTGTTTTTAGTGAACGGCGTTTTAAGTTGCTGCTGCGTGTCTTTGCTGCAGAGTCACGTTCCCTGGCTGCACAGCTCCAACCCTGGCTTGGAGAGGGTGAGCGCCATCGTGTGGGAGGGGAATGAGTGTAAGAAGGCAGACATGTCTGTGCTGGAGATCAGTGGAATGATCATGAATAAAGTGAGCAGCACTTCCTGTGAGGGAGGGTGAAACCTTTGAGTGAATCCTGCTGACGTTTGTTTCTGTGTTCAGGTGAATCTTTACACTCCGGGTATTGGGTACCAGGTCTTTGGGAACCTGGTTTCAGTGGCACTAGGACTTACACCCTTCATATACAGGTATAACAACCGTTTCTAATACCCACATCGTCACCATGGTTACCTTTTTTCATCCTCTAATCGTTTCCTCCCTCCTTAGGCTGGCTCAGCATCGTGACCTGGATCAGCTGACCACTCTCTCAGCAAATGAGATGTTGTCTGTAGCTCTGGGGGGTGGGTGTGGCTCGGATTTCTTGGTGATTACCATGGTAACGCTCAGCTTCCTGGTGCGCGCTTGCCTTATATGGCTCTTCTTCTTCCTGCTCAGTGTGGCGGAGCGGACCTACAAACAGGTGCCAGAATGAGATCCTGGTAGATTTCTCCCGCTGCCAGAGATGTTTACTTCTTTACTTCTTTTGTTTGTTTTGAATTTCAGAGGCTGCTGTTCGCCAAACTGTTTGGTCACCTGACTTCAGCCCGCAGAGCCAGGAAGTCTGAAGTTCCACATTTTAGACTGAAGAAAGTTCAGAACATCAAGATGTGGCTCTCGCTACGCTCCTACCTCAAGGTACGTCGACCATGGAGACATCTGTTCAGATTATTGGCTATGTCATCACGCCTCCAACTCGGAAACTAAAATCTCTGACAAATTTGCAGAGACGGGGTCCTCAGCGGTCAGTGGATGTCATCGTTTCATCGGCCTTCCTCCTGACGCTGTCAGTTGTCTTCATCTGCTGTGCTCAGGTGACTTCTGGCTGTTGAATCACAGCAGAAACGTTGGAGTGTGACAGTTTCAAGAGCTGGGGTTCAAACTAGTCGCTTTCATTTGAACACTTTATGAACATGTGACCTAAAGCGCCTCATTCCTCTGAGGAACCTGAATGTAAAACTTTTTGGTTGCAAGTAGAAACACGATGGGCATCGTCTGACTCGCCCAGAGTTTGTAATTGTTCGTGTAACCATAGCAACATGCAGGGATTTACCTCATCAAAGTGAAATGGGTTACTCTAACAAACAGATGTCGGTATGTTTCCAGCTTCTTCACGTCCATGAAACGTTCCTGGAGTACCACTACAACTGGGAGTTGGTGATCTGGTGCTCCAGTCTGTCTCTGTTCCTGCTCAGGTTCGTCACTCTGGGCTCAGAGACCAGCAAGAAGTACAGCAACACCTCCATACTGCTCACCGAACAGGTACACACACACACACACACACACACATAACAGAAAGCAAACTTTCAGTCGGTCACACTGACCATCTAACGTGTCGCCCACAGATCAACTTATATCTGAAGATGGAGAAGAAGCCCAACAAGAAAGAGGAGTTGACTCTGGTCAACAACGTTTTAAAACTGGCCACCAAATTACTCAAGGTACTGCCCACAACCCTTCTCACCCACATCTCTTCGTAGGAGGATTTATTTACTCTGCGTTTCCTCCTCCAGGAGTTGGACACTCCGTTCAGGTTGTATGGTTTGACCATGAATCCTCTCCTCTACAATATCACACAAGTGGTCATCTTGTCTGCTGTATCAGGAGTCATATCTGACCTGCTTGGGTTCAATCTGAAGGTAAGTGTGTGTGTGTGGCTTTAATGGAGTCTGATGGGGTAACAGATCTGCATTTTTTTAAATCGCAATTGCTTATTCTTGCTCATTTTAAATATATTTTTAAACATTTTCTAAGTGCTTTTTTATATTTTTACAATTTTTTTATATTTTTTGTTTTTGTGAAGCGCCTCGTGATTTTTATCTTGAGAGGCGCTATAGAAATTATATTTTCTTCTTCTTCATTCCCCCATCAAAGTGTCAGATGGTAAAAGCTAATCAACATCCTTTATGATCACGTTGGTCTGACTGGTCCTTTAGGTCCCACGGCCATCTAGAGTCCAACATTGTGACTGGCCCTGCTGACACCAAGCCTACGGCTGCCTCCTGTTAACGTATACATTAGTTATTATACAAGTGAACTTCTGCAAACTGCAGTTTGACCTCATAACGCCTGTGGGCTTGTGCTAAGTACAAGCAGGCTGGCAAACAGGCGTGGTGCCCCCTGGTCAGGTTGCAGGTCCATCGTAGGGCAACACAGAGACACACAGGACAAACAGCCATGTGCGCACGCACACACACACACACACACACACACACACACACATTCACACCGACACCTAAGGACAATTTAGAGAGACCAATCAACCTGACAGTCATGTTTTTAGGACTGTGGGTGGAAGCCAGAGTTCCTGGAGAGAACCCACAGGGAGAACATGCAAACTCCCCCCAGGCTGGGATATGAACCCAGGACCTCCTTGCTGCAAGGCAACAGCGCTAACCACCGTGCCCCTGTGCAGCCCCGTAAATAGTCATAGAAAATCCATTTTCTCAATGACTACTTCTTCAGATGAAAGCCATGTACATGTTGGGTTTTTGTGCAAAACAAATATCCTTCCCCACCTATCTAGGAAAAACACGTGTCCACTCAACCACGTGCTCAGCAGTAAATCCAGTGCGTTGTGAGGCACACTCATAAGCAGCATTGTAACTTTGATTTCCTTTTTGATGAAATCTAGATGCTGATTAAGCTGTTTGGATGTAGAGTCATGGAAGAACTAAAATGCATCTTTGGTGTCTAAGTGAGAAGCTGGGTCAGGCCTTAGTGTCCACCTCTAAAAGGCTTTGGTTCATGACTGCAGTTTGTAATATTTACACTCATGTGGACGAAAACCTGTGATCGTGTCCCTAACTTCCTCACTTGTCTTTGTAGCTGATGAGTAACAATGCTACATTCCTATAAAGTACACTTGATGTAGGACAGGGAAACAAGAGAGGCGTACGATGTGAGGTTACAGATTGTTGGCCAGGTAATGAAAATGATGTGTAATATAAAATTAAACTCAAAGGCTTGCCGTAGAACTTTATGGTGCTCACTTTTAAAAGAGCGTAGATGGATTCTGTCATGAGTGTTACCTGCAGTCACAAAACGCCAACACTGCATCTGGTTCAGGATCAGTTACTAAACTGGGCTCGGTGTCAAGTGTCAAAGTTGTTTAAATGTAAAGAAAATCCATTGGTGGCTTGTGAGCGGTAGCTACACTTTCAGCATAAAAGGGTGTTTGTGTAAATGTTTGAACTGGTTTCTAAAACCTTTCTGTTCCCATTCACAGCTGTGGAAGATCAAATCATGACATGAAGGTCAAACTCAATCCTCACAAAGACTGTCGACACATCCGAGTGCCCTGACCTTCAACGTTTCCACTTTGTGCAATTCACAAACAGTTTACCCACTCAGTGTTTTTACTTAGGGTTTATTTGAATTCTAGGTCTCTTGGTTTTTTACAGAAACTTCTGTAAGTTAGTATTATTGACATAAATTATGGTTTATGTTCTGAATGGCTTTTGAGACTTTTCTTTAATTTCACCTCGTGTGAAGGCTGTTTCAGGGCAACAGTTATTTTAGGTAATTTCCTAAACTTTTAAAGCTGTTTTTTTTTATTGTTTCTGACAAAAATGTTGGAACGGGTCAAGTAAAATTTCATTTTTTGCAGTCCTGTGCTGAAGGGGATTTACGTTAAACGTTTAAACATATGCTGTTGGATTTCCCCTGATCTACCAGCTTTCACGTGTTCATACCTGATGATCACTGTCCTGCAGGTCCGGTTCTGTAAAGTACTTCCTGGGCTTGTTCTCTCTCTCTCAGCACTGAAACCACAGAGTCACACAGTCGATTCCGATTTCTTTAACGGGTGTAAACTCTTCAGTCCGTCATCCTCACGTCAGTTTCAGCAATACTTGTAGAACGTTTGTTTACTTTACAGAGCTGACGTGGCTCAGAAGGAGGATCTGATTCTGCTTTATTTTATCTTAAATGACAAACGTCAGCTTCTCCAGTTAAGTCACTCAGAATAAAACATGAAAACACAACTCCAAACCTTCAGATAGAAACCATCTATGTGCTGTTCTGGGTTTAGCTCACCTTACTGGGTTTAATTTCATACTTAAAGATCCCTCACATACGTTCTGTCACACAGAAGCTTTGTTTCAAATCACCTCCATCCATCACAAGTCTGTATGCGAATCATGATATGCACTTTAAAAACAGACTATGCGGAACAAAAGGTTACATCGTCTCATGTTTCTGTACCTCTGTGTGTGTGTGTGTGTGTGTGACATTAAAGCGAACGCTCACGCAGAACTTCGTTACATTAACATTTCACATCACTTTAAAGTTAGTCCTACATGGTACGTGAAGTGCTTACAGAAAATGTATATTGCACAATGTGATCAGAACACTGACATTGGTGAATACTTCAGCAGATGAGGTAGCATTCAGAAAAGGAGCTTCATAAAAAAGAAACGCTTGTGTAATCAGTTACGTGTTTGAGCAGGAAGACCAAAGTGCTTATTTAAATTTTGTTTATTCTGGGATAAAGAATGTATTTATAGAGACTTGCTCTAAAATCTCTCTTCAGAAATCCTGTAGTTTGTATTTTTATTTTGTTACTGTGCTTTTTGTCCTTTCGTTAGTTACGGCGGTTTTTTCCTCATGCCTACTAGAAGACAGAGGCGCCGTTTGCTGTGTTTATAAGCAACAAAATGTTACGACGTATAAAAGTGAACTTAGAGAAAGGCTTGTGTTGTGATGCTGTTTTTTTGTTTGTTTGTTTTTGATTGTTTAGTTAACTGGTCTGTCCATGAGGTCTACACTTTTATAAGAAAAATTAAACATTTGAATTTTGAGTCTGGTTTTTTTTGATTATCTTCCAGCTTAAAGCCTGTGTCAGGATCACATTATACCAGATCTAGTTCAGAAAAAGTCAAACCTGAGCCAAATCATCTGAGGAGGAATATGACTAAACTTGCTGTCACACATATTTTTAAAATCTTTTTGTTATCCTCGCCAGTCTGAGGAATAGTATTTGCATGTCGTAAAGACTGCGGTAAAATGGCGCTGCTTAAAATTAGTTGAGCGCATGTACTGACCAGATGCCCGAGCCACCTCAACTGGCTCCTCTCAATGTGGAGGAGCAGCGGGTCTACTCCGAGCCCCTCCCAGATGACCAAGCTTCTCACCCTATCTGTAAGGGAGAGCCCAGCCACTCTGCGGAGAAAACTCATTTCAGCCGCTTGTATCCGTGATCTCGTTCTTTCAGTCACTACCCAAAGCTCATGACCATAGGTGAGGGTAGGAACGTAGATCGACCGGTAAATCGAGAGGTTAATATACCACACTTAAATAACACCATTTCAAAATGCATATTAGAGCATATTTGTTGGCTTGCTACTCCTGTAAAATTAAAATCGGTTGCCACAATGTATGCTGTAAGCTAATTAGAATCTGAATGTTAAGGGCTGGAGCAGGAATTAGAAACGGAAAAAACAATCTCACGCAGAAACGATAGCAGACATAAGACTTGTTATAAGGGTTAAGGGTTGAGAAAGATGCCTTATCAAAGATGGAGGAATTATAACCAGAATGGAAATCTCATGCCGACTCTAGAGAAGACATAAAACCAGAGGTGAGCCACGTCACAGCTAAGCTTCAGACGACAGAATGCAACAAACGTGGAGGTTTTATCTCCACAAGTAACAAGTCTGGAGGAGCTTCTGCTGTGTGAAGTTGGTAATGCTAACAATTAGCTTCTACTAGCCAAGACTTCTCTACAGCCTGCTGCAACAGCAGTCGTCCCCGTTGCAAGTCCAGACGGGCGAGTCCAAGCTACATCTCGATGTAGAGCTGTGAAGCTTTTCAAATCCTACTTTCACCACATATTTACTATCAGAAGCTATTGTAGGAGACTATTTTCATGTTCAGCCTGCATGAACACCTCCCGTGCACCTCCTTGATGAGGTTTTCTGGGCACGTCCAACTGGTAGGAGACCTAGAGAGGCCTCGGCTGGCCAGGGAACGCCTTGGTATTCCTCGGGAGTTGGCCCAAGTGGCTGGGGAGAGGGAAGTCTGGGCCTCTGCTTAGGCTACTGCCCCCGTGACCTGACTCTGGATAAGCAGAAGAAAATGGATGCGTGGACAGAAATATCATTTGAATTGTGTTTTTAGTTGGCTCAAACTGGCCTTTCTCTGCCCCTAATTGTGTCATTCCCCAATGTCCCCCATTCCCCCGCCCCCACCAGTTAATGCTGAGTAAAGCTGTGTAAAGAAGAGAATTTCTCTATATTAGCTCTAAAATGAAACACTGCGCAGTGTTTTTGCACTTACAAAAAAGAAGAATGAAGAGTTTAAAAATCTGTTTTATTAGAACAATCCAGCAGATATAAAGGTCTACTGCAAACCAAACATTCCCATCAGACTGGAAAATGTGCTCCAGACATTAAGCACATGGAAACAGGAATAAATTAATATAAACTAGAGAAAACAGAACCAGAAAAAGTACAAATGAAAAAACAAGAATTTTTTTTTGTATTTCTGCAAAGAGAAGCAGCTCAGACAACTCGCCCACTTTCAAACCCAACTTCAAGCAATCTTACAGTTTACGATAAGCTCAGAATCGGAAGATTTTGGTTATACCAGAAAGTTAGGGTTAAAAAGTCTGTTTGTAGTCAACTGGTGAATTTTTAATCTTCAGCTACAGATTATAATCCTGTCCTCTAGTCATATTTTTGAATTTACAATTAAAGGGAAATTATTTTTCTAACTTTTAACACAAAGGAATTCAAGCTTGCATAATAATACTATTGATAGCAGTGGGTAAATTAAAACATAAAGCAATCAAAAAGAAAGATAAACAACAAAAAGATTCTCCTTGTTCTGGTTGTGTGAGACACACACTGGATTAAAAACACATTTGCCCTGAAAACCTCGGTTTCATCGCTTCTATTAGCAAAAAACATATAGGACAGGGGCCTTGTTTGTAAAAAAAAACTACCAACCTAAGTTGGTCTGGTGTCTTATCGCTGGGGGGGGGGGGGGGGGGTATGGCATGAGAATATTTAATACAATTTAACAGCCAGACAAATAAAAAAACTGCTACATATCAAAATATTATTTTATCTTTGACTTATTTTGGTTTTGTAAAGCCTGACGTTTAATTCGAAACCAGGTTGCCGAGCAGGAAGGAGCAGATCAAACCCTTTCCTTTAGCTTTACATCATCACCTGCATTCTTATTTCCTCCTCCGATGAAGGATGCTGCCAGAGCTCTTAGACGCTTCATCCTCTCGATTGGTTTATTATCTAACTTTTTTGTTATTTATAACATCTTTTTGTTTTTTTGTTTTTTTTTTTACAAATCTATAGCTAAAAGTTTAGAAATCTTATTTATGAACAATTCAAAGACATTTCCCACTCCATTTTTTATATCTGAAAGTGACTTGAAAAAACAGCATTCACCCAAAAAATAAAAAAACACCCCAAAGCTTTTTAAACCAAATTTCTGTATTTTCTTGAAATCAGATAAATTCTTAGTCAAATTACTGAAGAGGATTTGCGGATGTTTCATCCCTTCCAAACCAAAAACAGCTTCATTATAAAACACGCCGTCTCAGAAGTGTCGATTTGAGACAAAGCAACAGAGCCAAAGAAGGTCGGTATAGACAGGCCCACAGAGATGGACAAAATTAGGGAACAAAGCACTTGTTAGTTTTCATAGTGCCCCCTGGAGGCCACTCTGGTCACAGCGGGACAGGCCGCTGTGGTTGTGATGGTAGGATCACGTGAACATTTCTGTCTCAGTGACGCTGTGCAGATTATTTCAGCCAGTGCTTCCTCATGAATCTGTCAGTGAACAGGTGAGTCAGTGTGGAGGTGTGCGTTAAAGACTGCCGTCATCGGTGCAGCCCCCTCCTGCAGTGTACCGAAACTCCTGCAGGTTGGAGACACCGTGAAAGTGGACGAAAGCCCCGGCGACCACCAAGATGTGGAACAGCTGATGGGAGTGGAACTGTGACGAGAAAACCACCAGAAAGAAAAAGGTTAGGAATATGTGAGGTAGAGAGAAAAGAGAGAATGAGAGGAAAACATGCAGCACTAAAGAATGGCAAGACTCGTCTGTGCCGTAACTCGCGAGCGTGCGTTTCGTGGAAACTCACCCAGATGTCACACTTGCCAGGAAAGAACCTCTCGGGGATGCGAGCGGCGTACAAACAGGCACCGGTGATGTAGAGAGTTGCCATCAGCAGCAACCAGCCCATCTGACCGATGGTGGTGGCTTTGATCAAACCCTCGCTGATGACAAAGTGCAAGGTAGGAACCACGCCGCTCAGACCCAAACCCACAAACACACCTGAACAGGAAGTAGAACCCAACATTAGCTCAACAACATGCAGTAATACACAGGTACAGCTGCACATACATCAATATTCATGAGAAAAGTCCAGGTTAACTTGATTTTACCTGCTCTGACTCCTCTGTACTGCGGTGTAGCAAAGAAGTCACACTGTGACACAATGATGGCCGTCAGTCCCAGGATGCAGATGACCATCAGGTAGATGAAACAGGGCTGGGGGGAGCAGTAGAAGGAGTAATACAACCAGGGGACAAAGGAGCCCATGATCAGGAAGGCAATCCCACTGTAGTCCAGTCTGAAGAAAACCACACAGGTTCAGGTGTGTGCACCTTTGCTGCTGCAGAGCTCTGAGCGCCTTTGTTTCACTTACTTAGAGAAGACTTTAGAGACGCCCTCTGAGTGACAGTAGACTGTGTGGAAGAGCCAGGAGAAAGACAGGCAGAGGATGGCTCCAAGGAAGAACATCCCAATCACGACCTTCTCCTGGACAGGAGCCACAAAGGACATGTTGGGCCTAAACATGTACATGAGACCCAGGAAGAGGAAGAACAAGCAGCCTGCAGAGGAGAGAGAACGAGTGATAAGGGTTTGTTGTTATCTTTGCAGACATGTTTCGAGGTTTACTGCCGACGATATCGTCCTCTGCTGCCCACGGATAAAAGGAAGTAACGCCAACAACATCCATGTTGGCACATTCTGATTTGCCTGAATATGCAAGAAATTATAAATAAGGAGTTTGTTAAAACAGGATTTACTTCCCGATTAAGTTAGGCCTAGTCCACACGTAGCCGGGGTTTTTTGAAAACGAATATCCACCCCTCCAAAAACTTGCATCCACACCACCTCGTTTTAAAGCTAAACTCTGTCCACACGTACCCGGATAAATACGTTGTTAAGGACATGCCAGACCTGTAGGTGGCAGTACTTCCCCCGTTCTTAACCTCATCCTTCGTCTGTGTTCTTCCGCAAGGAGCAGTAATTCCGCTTGCAAAAACAAACAAGCAGAAAGCGCTTGGACAATTGATAAAGCGAGCGCAGCTCTGAGGGCATCCATGCTGTCGGCTAGTGTAAACACAGGTCGCACACGTGATGTCAGCATTTTTTTTGTCGCGGAAAGAGACGTTGCGGACCTTAAAACTCCGGTTTTGTCCGTCCACACGCAGACACCCAAAACGGAGAAAACGCAGATCTTCACTTTAGCCGGAGTTTTTAAAAAGATCTGTTTTCGTGTGAAAAAACTCTGTTTTCGTGTGGATGACAGGCCAAAACGTAGAAAAATATCTACGTTTTGGCAGATCCCCGGCTACGTGTGGACAGGGCCTTAGTTTCTAGCCGACTCCCGATTCGGCCAAATCGGGAAAGAAGCCTCTTGAAACAAACTCCTTCGACCTCCTGTCAAAGCCTCTCTGCAAAGCTGCAGCAGATACAGCCAGATGGATCCTTAAGAGCCACTCTTCCACCTTGGACACAAACAAGCATTCTAGCTCCTGTTGTGACTCGGAAACGTCTCAAGACTGGACGGGTCGTATCAGAGTTGATCTACGGCTTTGGATATCTTGGGGTCACCCGACTTCTGACAGTCCTGGATCTGCACTGAGGGTCTCCACAAGGGTAGTAGACACAACAGATTGCGTCTGATGAGGCTTTTATAACCAACTCTAGTTTATAACAAACAACAAATTCTTTTACAACCCAGTCTTCACTACTTTCTCAGATACAAAGAATGGTTTTGCTAAACATCTAGCTTCCTTTACATCACCTCACATCCACTACTCCACATCTCATCATTCATATCTTGTCATGTATAAATTATTAGTTTAGGAAAAAGAATTAAATTCATTTTATAAACTATATGCCTGACTCTGAATTAATACGAAGCGTGTTTATGGTCCCTGAAGAAGTAAAGAACCCTAGAATCTTCTGATTAAACTTCAAAGATCAACCAGACAGATAGTTCATATTTATATGGAATCATCACATCTTACTGGTCATATTTAATATGTTTTAATTGCTACATTATTTAGGCTTTTCGAGTCATTTTTGTGAGAAAGTGGTCTCCTTCTCTGATGGGACACAGAGCAGTTGGGTGTGTCTGGTGAAGTGTCGGCTTGTCAGCTCGACTCCTGACAAAACACGGTTTTTATCTGATTTTAATGATTTTTATCACTTTTTCGTTTGAACACTGGGCGCAGTAATTGCATACCGCTTTTTTAAATGCTGCTCGGTGTGCACTTTTAATTATCAATTTTTTTATTGCATGTTTTTACTTTTCTGAAGCAGACCCAGGAAAATACAAGCAACTCTGTTGTTATCCTGGGCCGGACTTTCTCCGCCGCCACTAGCGCCCAACTGGCTGATACGGTTCCCCTCCAGCATGACGAAGTTACAGAGCGGGGATCCACCATAGGGTCGCTGATTGGACTTGGGGTTCCGAATGTCCATGCCTCCCCTGCTGCAGAGGACGATCGCTGGTTTCAGCAGGGGCGAAGCCTAAAGCCCCGACCAGCTCCACTCCAGTCGTGTCGGGTGCCTGGTCCACAGTTGCATCCAGCCGCGGTCGGGGAGCATGGGACGCTTGCCACCGCTCTCCTCCCTCCCGCCTGCCACTGACCAACAGGTTCAGAGCTCTGGATCCAGACTTCCCCCATCTGACGGCTCCCGGACCCCACTGCTCCGCAGGATCACCGCTCGAGTCCTCTCAGCCCTCGATGATGATGCTGTGCTGACAACACGTCGCAGCGGCCCTGAAGATGCTCCTCAGCCTGGACCTCAGCGTGCCTGAACTTCCGGCAACAGCGATCAGCACGCCGACACGCCCAACACGCTCATAATCGGGGATTCAATCATCAGGATTGTACGGATGAGAGGAGTGCTCACTCAGTCATTCCCTGGAGCAACGGTAATGGATGCTGCTGCAAAAATCCCGGGTCTCCATCAGCATGTGAGTAAGGTTTTTATCCACACTGGAACTAATGACATCAACAAGCAGCAATCTGAGCTTCTGAAGCGTGATTTTATCCACCTTTAAAAAAACTCACATGTGTCTGTTTATATCTCTGGCCCCGCTCCCACCTTTGGCAGAGGAATTGGTCGTTTTAGTAGACTAACTACCCTAAAACTACCCACTCTCCACACTGAGCTGAGGCAGCACCTAGCTACGTACTCCTTTTGGTTAAGTAAGAGATTCAGATTTAGAAAAAAAGAGCGTTTTTAGAAGCTTTGCTGAGAAAGGTCACGTTTTACTAGAAAGAAATTAGAAAAAAAATTAACCTACAATTTGCTCTTTAAGTTTTTGTGCTGCTTTAACAAGTGAATTTACCCACTGTGGAATCAATAAAGTCTATTCTATTCTATATTACGGCTGCACCTATCAAATATTTTAGTATTTGAATATTCTATCAAGTCCTCCATCGATTAATCAAATATTCTATTTGCAGACGTTTCAAGTGAAACGAGACTGTGGTCTGCTGCTAAAACTTTTTAAAATAAAATAGCTAAATTACAAAAGGCTCAATAATATACATTAAACTGGTGTCTAGTTCCCTGTTTCCCATCTGATATTTATAGTTAATAAATATTTAATGGAACAATCGTTAACATTTTAGGTTTGCATTAATATCCCTCATCCTAGTCACAATAACATATATAAATATATTCACATATAATCAGTAGAATTGATTTATTTCATGAACGTGTTCAGGAGTAAGCTACTGGAAATGCTAATAGCATTTCATTTCTACTGGTAACAATGTAATGGTGCCATATCTACTTATAAATGTCTGTGGTCAGGATGCTACCTGCTAGCTGAGAATTAGCAATTCTGCTCGTAGTTCCACTCTTGATACCAAACTTTGGACCATCTCTGCCTTTTACAACGGTTTGTGTCTTTGTTGATTTCTCCATTTTCCTCCACAGCATCCAGATTACCACGTAGTGCACCAGTAACGTGTGTCGAGACATTTAACGAAGCTTTGAATCAGTAAAAAATTACTTGAACCTTTCAAATCATTTGATGATTCGTTTCAGCCCTTTTCTATTTAAAGTGTAATTTAGATGCACTGTCTGGATTGGCCACTAGGTGTCAGCAACAGGTTTAGCAGCTTAAACCTGAACAGGAAAAGCGTTGCCTCACTGAAGCTGAACCAAATAAAAACAGCTGTATGAAACTAAAGTTAAACCATTACTACTGAATCAAGTCCCAGACCCACAAACTTCTGATGTTTTCCACATTTTCTGGATTTAAGCTACAAAAATCAGAACACTTGTTACGCTGAGTGATGAGCTATTTCAGACTAGTCAGATTACACAACAGCCTGGGTAATATTAAAGCTATTTAACTGCAGATTAGCATATAAAGTTAAATGTAGGACCGATGGCAGCAGGTGAGAGTTAAACGAGGGAGGCATTTGGGCTGATGTAGGAGTTTTTACCCAGCAGATGTGTCCAAATGTTGCCCGTCTCTGTGTGGATTCTGAAAATGCTCTTGAAGCAGGCGCGGAATGAAGGCATCGGTGGTCTGTGGCCATGGAGCAGGAAGTCGTTGTCCTTCAGCCAATCGGGGAGCACGTCGTGTGGTATGACGCGCCACCGGCCCTCCCACACCTGATGAGTGGAGAAACAAAGAAACGCCTCAATAAAGGTTGACTCGATGCTGCAGGGTGGTGCAAAAACTAAAATGTCTATTTTAATCTCAAAAAAACATCTGGTTGTTTATAAATACAGTGTGTGTGTGTGTGTGTGTGTGTGTGTGAGAACAGGTGAGGCGAGGCCTCATGGCCGGTTACACAAGTCGTCTTTCCTCGGACAGATTCTTTAACTCTTCGTTTCTCCAAACTCGTCTGTTTTAGTTTATAATCATCTCCAAAGATGCAACACTATGACATCTTGTGTGTGTGGACATATCAGATATCAGTCAGAGAGACGGACGACACCCGAATTTTTCTGGAACATTTAATGGTTTTATAGTGTTATGGTTTTCTTTTCCTGAGTGGATTTAAAACGTTGTGATAAACACACCTGTTTCTACCAGATGTGGAAAAAGTACTAAAATTTCCTACTTACCGTAAATCCTCTAATACAGGCCCGGGCCTGTATTTGACTCAAGCTCATCAAGCTCCAGGCCTTTATTGGAAGGAGGGCCAGTATTAGAGGCAGGCCTCTATTTCTATTTGAGCAAAATGAACTAATGGTTCGCTGGAGTTTTTGACAATTAAAATTGCGTCCACATTTTCAAAGTTAAACACATTTCTTTTAACAACGGTAGTTTCTGCTTCAGCCCTCTCCCCCCTCCCCCTGCGCAGCAGCCGCAAACTCACTGATGCGCCTGCAGCCTCTCGGAGTTCCTGCTGCTCTAAACATTAAAATAATTATTTCATTTTCTGTTCCTCACTTCTGATGACCTTCAATGGTGTCTGTTTGTTGCAACAGCAGGTACAAAAACTAACTTGTTTTTATTTGACTATTTTCCTGTCCTGCCTGTTTATTATCTTCCTGCATCTCCTCTCAATCCTAAAGAAAAACTGCTACCTGGGTTCATATATATTCACCTTATGAGTTACCTTTGAACTGCAGTTCTAAAAGATCTACCGACCGCTAAAACAGCGGAGCGCTTGCTGTTTGGCGGCCGTATCAGTGATCAGTGCGTCGGAGGACAAGGGTATGCGCGCAGCGTCCCGCTCCACAGCATGCAGCGAAACACATCAGGCGCAAATAAAAGACAGAAAACATTAAAGGAAATGAACCGACATGAACGATCACGTGTCAGTACCTACGGTCTGGCACTTGAGTTTTACCCCCAAAAAGAGAATGTGATCATACGATAATTCAATAGGGAGCGTGGTTTCACAGACGCGGAAGTGATAGCATCGGTGAAACGCCGGCTGCTCTAGGAAACCCCCGAGCGTTCGAGCGTCAAAGAAGTGACACGGAAATGCTGGGCTTTCCAGAAGTAAGTAAGATAACTTACTATGAGCTGATAGTTCGTTGGATTGATCGGTAGGTTGGAAACTCTGATCGTGAATCTGAAGAAACGATGACTGAGCTGGAAAGGCGACTTCCGTTTATAGCCGCAGTTTGTGACGTAGGTGCGACGTGAAGGGAATCCCCGCGAGGGGCATGCTGGGAGTCCCTACTTCACGGATTTTCACCTATCGCGGCCAGGTCTGGAACGCATCTACCGTGATAAACGAGGGATTACTGTAGTTCATACACCCCCTACTGCTGCTCCCCAGAGTGTTCTGCAGCATAATCAGCACATTCTCTTTGAACTTGATAGTGTAATGACCTGGCTGGGGTTGTAAGCCAGGTGCATTCTGGGTATTGTGTTATATGTGTTTCCTATCGTTCTGCTAGTTCCTATGTGCTGATTTGCGTGTTGTGTGAGTGTTATGTAAGCCACAGGGAAGGTGATGTGTGTTCTGTGGAGCGGGTTGAATTAGCATGGTTAACTGACACCGTGACTCTGTGTGGTAGGAGCGTGATAGAGGATCGTGTCTGTAGCGTTACAAAGCGTTGAAGAAAAAGCCTAAAAAAGGTCTGCGTGAACTTCTACTGCCTCCTGCTGGTTGATTTGGGTACTATAACCCTGCCGCTGGGACGTTCGTACTTGCTTGTTATCACATTCCATCCGGCCACAATAAGAGACCGGCCATTATTTACCTCCGCTGACTCAGACACCGGCCAGAATTGGAGACCCGGCCTTTAATTGAATACCGGCCTGTATTAGAGGATTTACGGTAAGTACGAGTACCAATACTTTGATAATTTTTTTACTTAATTTCACCACTGAAATCAGTTTGTTCATTCCAATCCTCCTAAATAATCCTTCAATCATCCAACTGGAATCCTTAACCCTCCCACTGTCCTAATGGGTGTGACCCCACGAGGAAAGTTGACCATTGAGCAGGGTTGATGGTTTATCCCTTGGGTCCATGTAGCAAGGGGGAGGTGTCAACTTTCCTCGTGGGGTCACACCCATTAGGACAGTGGGAGGGTTAAGGATACCGTAATATCCATCCTATCAGAATAGGCCTTGGGAGGCCAGGTGTTACTAGAACTAATGGTGTCTCCTCACCAGCATGAGCCTCCAAACTGTGAAGGTTGGTCTCCAAACATGAACTTTAAATTCATGCATTTATCTCCTCTTGTAACACTTGAACATGTTTTAAAAGGCTTGAATCATGATAAGTTACACCTCCCAGACCAAAGATAAGATAAAACATTATCGTAGACACTACTGAGACGTCATTTTATGAAATAGAAGTTATTTTTGTTCACCATTACTTCAACCAAGAAATAAGATGCATGAATTTGATGAAACCACACTGCCTCATGCAGTCCTATACGTGTAACACACACACACACACACACACACACACACACACACACACACACACACACACACACACACACACACACACACACACACACACACACACACACACACACACAAACACACACACACACACACACACACACACACACACACACACACACACACCATTTTACAATCATTCGAATGACTAAGTTAACTACAGTAATTTAATCTCTTATTCTGGAGTAAAATAAAGAAACAACCTAAATCATCACATATCTGCGGCATCAAGGAGCATCTTCTGAGTTCAGACACAGGGATGGAGCATAATGTTTACACCTGAACAGTATCAGGATGTTTTAACTCACAGAGGCCTGCAGGTCTTCTGTTTTATGATCAGAGCGCTGATAATCCGCTTGTTATGAGCGCTAAACGTTATTTTGCCGCTTCCGTGTGGAGCGGTAGGGAAACACATTTCAAACACGGAACCAAGCCCGGCTACTGAACTGACTGGAATTCTGATGACGTCACACCGGTGCACGAAGGTGCGGGTTCCAACCCACAGGAGAGGAGGGAGAGAGGAGGTAAACAGCGAGTGGATCACAGGGACTGAACAGATGTTTTTGAGCAAAAATGCAGTAAAAATGGCTGTTTGTCCTCCTCATTATCAAGTGTACCCCCCCCCCCACCCACCCACCCCCACCCCATGGTTTGGCCGCAGTGCTCATGCTGCTCTCTTTCTGTTTCGACGGTGCTACACGTAATATTTTTAATTTATTAAGCCTATAATTTATTTTTACTCAATAACAGATATGATTTAAAATGTAGCAAATTAGAATTCCTTTTTAAAAACATACTCAAGTAAAAGTAAAAGTACAGATTTTAAATACGACTTAAAAAGTATAAATACTCAAAAAAGCTACTTAATTACAGTAACGTGAGTAAATGTAATTTGTTACTTTCCACCTCTGGTTTCTACCTTTAGTCTGCAGTCACTATAAATATCTGAACAGACAAACCGGGTAAAGTTATATATATTTCTCACACCTTGTGCACAAACTCCTCCATCTTTTCCATGGCGTGGTGAGCCTGCAGCAGTGGAGTCATTCCCATGAAGCCTTCATCGCTGCTTCTCTCATCCTCTTCCACCTCTTTCTTTTCTCTTCCTCTGTCGTCGTCTTCATTTATTCGTCTCTTGTCGTCACAATCTGGGACATTCTGACAAAAAACAGACACAATTTATCATTTTTCTCCTCATTAAAACAACTGGATTCAGAATTTCTCCCAGCGTTTGCAGACGGGAAACACTAGAAAGATGACCGCTGAGTGTGTGCATGAACCTACTGATTTATGTTACCTCGAACATAAATCGAGAATTCAGATTCCAGGGTTAACCATGAAATACTGTTGCATGAAAAAGACACCCACACAACACTGTGAGATTACTAGTTTCTAATCCAAGTGCAAAAAAAGTTTGATTATTCATTTATTGAGACAAATAAAGACAAATGTCTGTCTGAACCATCTTACAAAAGCAGGAAGAAACATTCAGAGTAAATTTAGTCTCACTGGTGGGAAGTCAGGGACAGAAGTAAAAAGTTCACTCATTCATCATAACTGACACCCAAACATTTGATTTATGCTCTTATTTTGAAAAACAACAGCTCAGAACTCGCCCACACCCACTTCTTGAGATAATGAAAGAGAAGAAAAGAGGAGGAGATGTTTACAGGAAGAAGTAACCGGTGTTTCGAGTGAAACGGCACTAAACTCTGCAGCGCTGGGTGTGATGTTAACAACCAGATCAGCTGTTGGTGGGAGTTGGTACCACCCTTCAGACATTTACCAAACAAACACTTTGGAGCTTCAATAAAGCAGCAACACGTGTTTGAACCGGCGCCACTGCAGCTCCAGCAGGTCGTCAGAGCAAAGGGCGAGGAGTCACATTTCCCTCCGTATGGATGTTTCTGTATCTGAGGCTAAAGATAATTCGTCTCCAGCAGCTTTGCTTTCACTGTAAGATACTTGGTCCTAACTCAACAAATCCACACGTTCGATACCCGTCATAAAAGTCATTCAGCAGCACAGGCAGTTCCTGTTTTTCCTAGAACAACATTTAAAACTAAACACGTGAGCTGAAGCTCCCAGAAAAACTAAATGGATTCTGCTACGTGATCTCTGAAGAGAAAGGCTACAACTGCAGGTGATGTTACGCTCATTCCCAAGTCTGCCATTTCCAGGGAAACTATTCAAACGTTGACTGATCCTGCTCTCGGGGGTGTGGACTCATTTCATTTTTATTCTAGCTGATGAACTTGAGCCGTGTCTGACGGAGCTAACCGCGAGCTTCCTGAGACAAACTGTAGTAACAGCACAAGCCAACTGCTTATACTGCCTATCAGTCTAAAACTGAATAACCTTCTGCTACAATTACCAAAAACAAAGAAAAACTGGAAAAATTCCCATCTGCTTCACCAGAACTCTTACACATTTAGGAATAAACTTTCCAGACTGCAGCTAAATGTTCTTCTGCTGGTTGTCACTGCCCCGTGGTTGGTTCTGATGGCACAAGTTTGAGACAGACGATAACTAAACAGATATTTGCAGAAGAAACCGAAGGTGCTCTGTACTGTGACTGAAACACAGCCGAGGGCAAATTTCAGGAAGCAGCTGTCAGAAAACAAGAATACAGCTCCAGCTCTGTGGAGCGATAAGAAAACACGGAGAGGAGGAAGGAGCTCAGCTCTGCACACACCAACCTCTCCTCAGCACAGAGAGGGAGTTAGCATGTGACCAACAAGTGCACAGAGGTCTGTAGGGACTCCAGAAACCAGAGTGACCCGCACGCAACGCACACACACACACACACGTCTGCTCTGGCCACAGTCGCCTGACTAAAACCCAGACAGAAAACGGACAGAAGCACGGGTTATAAAGACTCATAACTAAATGTTGTAAATGCTCAAGACTCAGTTTTGTTTTAGAGTTTTGGGATTACAAAAAGTCCTCGAAACTAAATTATTAGATCGGAGGTTTCATTTAAACCACATGACTGCACGCTGCTCAGTGATCACATGTTTGACGGGGACCGTTTTCATTGTCGGACAGCGTGTTGATGCTACGGTCTTTGTGATGAAGAGTAAATGAGAGGAGACGGTCAAGCGGGAGATAAGAAAAGCAAAAGTAGTACAGTAAAATGTTAATAAAGTGCTTTGTAGTGATAATAAAAGTGCTGTTCTGCTTCTAGATGAAATACGTCTACTTTAGCAACTTTTGCCAGTTCCTATTAAAGGAATCACAAGTTCTTGGACTAAAGCATCTCAGCTGGTGCCTTCAAACCAATTTAGTTTAGAAGAATATGTACACAAGGACGCAGACGAAGGACACAACTGCAGTAATCAGGCCAGAAGTGATAATTCCCTCGGCTCTACGTACCTGTCAGAGATTTTATCATCTTGTAATAAAAGGAAGATGGTGAGTGTGGCATAAATTGTTTTGTGTCTCATTACTGAAGAGAGCTATGCAAGATCTAGTTACTAAACGGACTAAAACCGGGGCGAACGTTCTAAAAGGGTTCCTTATAGATAAACAAATGAGCATCATCATCCGAGGCCTGCTGGCGTATGCACAAGAGAGCATTCTGGTAGCAGACGTTACTACGGAAACATTTAAGAGGTGAAACCATCATCTTCAGATTTGCACTTTAATAAAAAGCAAAACAGACATTGAATAAAATTCCCACATGAAATACTTTCAATTTTGAAAACTTTCTAAATGTATTTTTCCCAACCACAGGGACAATCAAATCATGTCATAATTACAGCTGGGTATTGATTCAAATTTATAGAATCAATTCAATTCCGATTGTTAAGGGTTAGAATTGATTATCTCGATCCGATCCAATTCAACCCGTTCCAGTTTCAGACCGATATGAGTCAGTGCTACTAAAAGGTTTTTTTGACCTGTTACCATAATTATACGTCCGTAATTCAAAGATGCAACACTGGGTGAGTTCACCGGGGAAACTGTATTCACCCTTTGGTTATTCCCAAAGCTCGCACCTCCTTTGGCCACTCCTCATTCCAGTTTGCTGCTCCCAACGACTGGAATGAGCTGCAAAAATCCCTGAAGCTCACTACCTTCAATAATTCATTGCAATCAATAGTTACTGATCAACGTGCCTGCTTTTGAGTACTTGAAGACTGTGTTAAGTCTGTTTTGATTGCATGTGCATATTGTATATGAGAACAATCCTTTATCTTTGTGTCTAATTGTTTTGATCTCATCTGTTTTTCTTTGGTTCAAAGCTAATTATGCTTCTGTTGCTGCTGCCTCTTGGCCAGATCGTCGTAAACGAGAAGGAGTTCTCAATCGACTCATCTGGCAAATAAAGGTAATAAATAAATAAATAAATAAATAAATCTGGACTTTTCCTTCTAATGTTAGCTGTAAAAAAGTAAAACTAATTAAACTGATTCGATTCAATTCCTGGAATTTTTATATGAACCGATTCAGAACAGATTTTTCGATTTTACCCACACGGCACTATACAAGAAGCCTTAATAATAAACCAGCGTGTTTCTGTAAATAATAAATAAACTCTAAAGATGAAAAACATAAATCAACCAGGCATTAAACAACAGAGATGTTCCACATCAAATCTAACCGCAAACAGGATGTGTGACGACACAAAGCTACGCCACAATGTGCCAAAAGGTTCAAGAGAACATGTAAACAAGTTGTGGATATTTAATGTGTGTGTGTGTGTGTGTGTGTGTGTGTGTGTGTGTGTGTGTGTGCGCGCGTGTGTGTGTCTATGGGGCAGGAGGCCTCTGAGGACTTCTCGGATGTCAGAGCAGGTAAAAAGGTTCAAGCCTAACAGACGCGTGGACACAACAGACCCACACACACTATTGTGTTTCAGCTCATTGGCCCTCTGCAGATTGTCTTTCACACTGAACCCTACACACACACACACACACACACACACACACACACACACACACACACACACACACACACACACGGAGCGTGCCTGATACTCGTTTCATCAGTTGGCTCAGCTGCCTGTAGGGACGTTACCACAGAGACCTCTGGTACCGTGCTTGTTGTCTTTCTGGGAAAACATCAATTTATCAACAAAACAAAGACTTTTTAAACCATTCTAATTGTGGATTTTGAAAGCTTTTAATAACCGCATCCCTTCAGAGCAACTACAAGTGAACATCAGTTAGAGGCTGAGCCGACCTCGTCATAATGCAGCCCTAATTACTACAGCACAGGGTGACTCATCGTTGAGTCTGCACAGCCGTGGAAGTGGTCAAGTTGTCAATAAGTGGAGGTGGTGGAGGAGCAGCCCGGTAAACAGGCTTGTGACCAAACCGTGCAAACTGCTCCTCAAACGGATTCTTCTTCTTCAGCTGACCTGGCCTCTATCGCGCTCATCGTTTTTAGAGCCATCACCAGTGTTGTTGCATAAAATACACTAACTACATTTGTATTGCTTTAAACTCACAAAGAACGCCAAAGAAGACGATTTAGCATAAAAAAACAACAATCTGGTACCAACTGGATGGTTTAAAACAAAAAGGTCACATTTAAAATGAGTCTTTTTAAAATGTTTGAACTCTAGCAATAGAAGCCATACTCTGGTGTTTAAAGTGAACATACTTAAATGTTAGCTTTCATCAAGCTTTATGAAATGTTTCATGTTTTAGCATCAAACAGCTAAAAGATGATCTTAACTTAGGGATTACTTAAAAGGCTGTAAATGTTTGAAACCAGCTAAATCTCATTGTAAAGTGTGTGATTTCAAAAGTCCGTCTACAAAGTAAAGTTGATGAGTCTTGCAAGAGTTCCCGTAATCCTCAGCGCTCCTGATTAAACCACTACGATTACTGTGTTTCATGTGTGTAACCTGTTTAGTGCGTCTCACAGGATCCTCAGAAAACAACACGAGAGAAAAATGAAATTTGCTTCAAACATGTTGGTGTAAATATTAAATTTGGGAGGAGAACTCAGGATTTTTGTCATCTGACAGCCGGTTGGGTCAGGTCAGCTCCAGGTCCCTCCCTGTTAGTGAGACCTGCTACATTATTGATATGAGAAGGTGAGTTCTGGTTTTGTTTTACAGAGTGACCCGGTAAACCCACACCACACAGTTCTGAATCAGGCCCATAACAGCGTGAAGGTGTGTCTCGGATACTCACCCCATTGTGAGCGGGGCACTCTGTGGTGCTGAGGTGACTGGGTGAAGAACCTGAGGTGGGCGTGTCTTCTTGTTCCCGTGGACTCATGGGACTTGTTCGACTTGTAGGGTTTTCCAGTAGAGTTGAGGTTCTGTGCCGCAGCACAAAGGTCGGGCCGTCAGCCCTGCTCGTCTCTCCCTCTTCCAGCTTGAAATGTTTGTCTGTCTTCTGCTTGTGGAAAACAGCAGGTGGAACCAAGCCTGGTGGGGCCAAACAAACATTACAAATGAAAACTAAATAACACACCTACATAAGAAAGGACGGTGAGATGTGGCCAACCTGAAGCTGCGGTTCCTGGACTGGACTGCGTTTGATTCAGACGAGGGTAAGGCACTGCAACCCAGGAGGAGGAAGAAAGGCCAGGAAGAGAAAATAAAAGACGTTACGCTTTACCCTTCAAAATAAAGCAATGATAATGCTTCATAAAAACCAATAGGAGTTTATCTTAGTAACCTTAAAAGTTTTAGATAAAGAATAAATGAAATAAAAAAACAATGGTTTTGGTATATTATAAAACAATCAACTCAAACATAAGTTGATGCTATTTTCAAGTTTGACTGTCCAGACTGGAGGCTTTGCTTAAGTTTAAAAGATCCAGTTGTCTTAAGACAAAGTGTCTTTAATAACTTAGCAGCTATTAACTGTATCTTGTTAAAATGGTATTGATTTGTGTTTTGTCTCCGTGTCTGATAAGACTTGCAGAGGGTTAGGAGCTGCCAACACGCTGCCAAACTGAGTTACTTAGTGATGAGAAGTGTGAAGGCCAGGAGCTAGACCTTCACACACCACAAGAGGAGGTGTTCCTTTATAAATACAGAACACACACTCTGTCGTCGTTGGGAGCCAACAGACAAGTTCTCGTGCTGGCAGCAATTAAAAAGGTCTTTGGGTTTTCTTAATAAAAATGTAAAAAGTTCAGAATCTTTTCCTGTAAAAGTGACAATTTAATTAGCTCTGGTAAAAGCGCTGGTGTCAGCATGTTTCTGCAGCATTTTCCAGACTTTAAAGTGTTGATGTTCAGTAAATGGTGAAAAATGTAGCTCCACACTTTATATCAGCATACAGCTGCTCTTCATGTTTTATTCTACACACACACGCACACACACACACGCACGCACACACACACACACACACACACACACACGCACGCACGCACGCACGCACACACACACACACACACACACACACACACACACACACACACACACACACACACACACACACACACACACACACACACACACACACACACACACACACACACACACACACACACGGAGAGGCCCAGTCACTGTAAACACATCCCTGAGACCAGCACCACTTCATCACCCGTGTTAAGACTCATACACTGAGGGATTAAACTCAACAGGGATTAAATTAACAGAAGGTTAACATATCCACAGACAACAGAAGGAATAATATGTATTCTAGTTGGTCAGTGTAAAGAGTTTATTTAAAAACGTAAAAAGAATAAATGAAATTCACTAAACTCCTTCATATGACAATTGATGGAAATCCCCCCCCCCCCCCCCCCCCCCCAAAAAAGAAAAACTATTAGTGAAAATTAAATGGGCACTCTTCTTTGGTAGCTGCTGCCTCACTTTCTGTCACGATGAAAAGTTACGCAGCACAAAGGCACCTCAGCAGCTCTGATGGGTTTGTCAGCAGCTGTAATGATTTCCCAGGATAATAATCTGGTGGCTTCATGGTGTGACGTCCAGCAATGGTCAGTTTAGGTACTGTCTGACTATTCTACATCTGGTCAAAAAGGAGACACAAGACTGCACATGTTCCCTTTAAATCAGCCTGCCTTCCTCACACCAGCTGGAGCTCAGAGCCTGCAGCTCTGACAGAGATAACGAAACCATAACATTAACATCCTGTTCTTTCCAAGGTCCCTCACAGAGCACCCCTTTTATCGAAGTGTAGCATGATGAATTGTCCATCTTTGACCTAAAGGCCCTGCTCTATTTGTTCTGCCCAAGCAAAACCATAAGTTTCTGACACAAGCCTAATCTACAAGATATGGGCCACTCATGCTCTGTGCTCTTATCTAAACTGTTGCTTCTCTGGACAGCACAAGAAAGAAGAAAGAAGAACTCTTTTAGAAACAGAACTTTTCTTATTAAATAATAATTAAATAATGTCTGTTAGTCCAAATAATCATGTGAAGCTAATGTTCAATCAATCTGTGAAATAAGAATATTAATTACTTGATATTATAATCCTATGATAGTATTATAATAAGCAATATAACTTTAAACTAGACACTAGACTGATCACACGTAATGCTAAAAGTCACATGACACATTTCCTTTTTCTGGATCAATCAGAACCCTCCAGATCTAACGCGAGGCGTGGTTTTGTTGGTGTTTGTTGGTGTTTATACCATCCCCTTTTTTGTTGTCAAAGTCTGATTCGATCAAAAATCAAAACATCCAAATTATAAAGCTATGCCCCACGTAATCTTAACTCGAGTTCCAAGCGTTCTAGAGAAGTTATCGGAGTGGCCAATCCATAACTTTCCTCTTAAAGCCGAAAGAACCTAACGACAAGCTGGATTAAATCTGTTGCATGTTCCACCTGCTGCAACGGTTCCTTCAGAATAAAAGCTGAACCACCACAACCCTTCAGGGTCTCACTGATGCCAATAAACTGTCGTGACCTGGGAGTATCTCAAGACGGGACTGGTCGGCAACTGCGGCTTTGCTACAGGCTTCGGTTCCAGACAAGGTCCAAGCTGGACCTCAACACCTCCTGATCTAAACGGGGACTTGCGTTGGGTACGTAGACCGACAGATGGCATCTCAATGTGTGTTATAATCTCAAACCAAAGCTTAGAGCGAAACACCATTTCACTCCCACTCAGAACTAATAGTCTCTGCAGATTTGCTGGTTGTGAACATATTTCACACACACACACCATCCTCAGTCTTACTCCACCTTAGTTCATCATCACATAGTGTTTAAAGTTAGTCTTATTTAATTTGTTTAGAAATAAATCTTTTAACTTTTTAAACCTGACTCTCTTTCTTGGAGTTGATACGGAGTGTTGCTCAATCCCTGCAATAAAAAGATCTGATCTTCTGGTTAAATTTACTCAAAGATCCATTAAGGTGATATTTCATATTTTATGATATTTCACATTCTATGGTTTCTAATTAAATGTAAGAACATCTTCTCTACATAAGTCTCCTTGCTCACAGAAGAAAGAAGATTTTTAAAATTAAATATGAACTTCTAAAATGTACAAGCTAGATAATCATTAATTAAACATTTGTTTATTGCTATTTATAATAATTATAAAATAATGAAATGTTCATTAATCTGTGCTCAATGATATATGTTTCAGCATGTTTAAGGTCATAACCATATTGCACTCATACAAGAACAAAGTAAGGTAAAGTTAAATCCATTACACATAATTAGCCTTTGCCCCAGATCAGAGCCTCCGGCTCAAAGAAGGCGTGTTCCTGAGATTCTTGGTAATATCCAAACTTGTCAACCTTTGGTTGGCTACACAATCATAACATGAGAACATTAAAACCAGATCACTCTGGTGATTCTTCAGTTGTAGAGAAGCTTCAGGCCGGCCACCTGAAGCAACACCTCTTTAACCACCAAAGCTTTTGACACGTCGTCAAAACCTTTTTGCACCTGCGAAGCGGATACAACACAATAGTTCCTGCAGAACAAGCCGATTTGTTCAACTCCTTAAGAGTTATTCCTGAGACGCAAACTAGTTCCAACTGTCGTTACCTGGAGATGACTGGACTGACCAGGTCGGAGGAACCAATAGAAGGGCTCACATAACACCAGTTTTATCTTCTTTACATTGGCTACCGGTCAAGTTTAGAGTCGATTTTAAAATTTTAGTTTTGACTTTTAGAGCTCTTAATGGACAAACTCCACAATATTTATCAGACCTTTTAATCCCTCACTCTTCTGGCCGCACCCTACGGTCCTCGGGTCAAAACTAGGGCCCGACCGATATATCGGCCGGCCGATATTATCGACCGATATAGGGGTCATTAATACTATCGGCCAAAAAGACGGCCGAAATGGCCGATATTGCGCTACCTATCCAGCAGATGGTGCCAGCTTTATGAACTCATGTTGTGAGGCTCCACTCCTCGGGGGGTGGAGCCACCGTCACAGCACACATGCAGCAGAAGCAATTCAGTCAAGCAGAGACCACGATGATGAGGAAGTAGGAGGAAAGTCTTCAGTTTTAAGCATATTTGTTGGGTCAATGGTAAGTTGAATGGTAAAATAAGCAATGACAAAAGTATGTTTCCCCTCAACATGCTTCCTAAGTTTATTGTGTGCCTCGTGGCCTCGTATTGAAAAGTTAACCTGAAAAAATTAAATAAAACTGCCGCAGCATTACGCTCTATGCAGAGCTCATGCTGCTTCCCCTTTAGTCATGCAGGGCAGTAAGTAACATTGGCCTTTTTCTTGTAGACATTCTGGAATATTCTCAGACAATTTCCTCCGCTCTTCTTCAGCAGTCTTTTCAAACTCACGCGGTTCACCCGCGGCTCGCGAAAAAAATAGTGCAGACGCCGAAACTATCGCTGCACGGCGCGGGCTGGAGCGCCGGCGCGCAGCGCTTCGGCGGCCCATGTGGCCTATAGAATAGGATAACAAGGGCGATGAATGAAGGCGGTCCCCGTTTCACAGCGCTTCGGCGGCACACGACCGTTGTCGCAGCTGAGGATGGGGGAGGGGGGGGTTGGCAAAAAAGCAATGAAACGCTGTGCAGGGAGTCCTCCTCCTCTCCCTAGCTGGGGGGGGGGGGGGGGGGGGGGGGGATACGAGAAACTAAACATTCCTCTCTACAACAGAATAAATCTATTGTATTTTTTCAGCCTTATATTTTGCATAAGGCTTATACATTTGTTGGGGTCCTGCCCTCATGAGAAAATTACTATGCAGTATTTTCTCCAAAGGACTGTTTATCTATGCCCTGAAGCGTAGACAATATCAGCGCCAGCAGGGACTCCATGTCCCATGATCCTCTACAGCTGGCAGCAGCTTGATGAGGTCATCAAGCGACGCCAAGTCTGACCAACAGCTACAGAGATCGCCCGCGGGAAGGGTCTATAAAGCCGAAGCGCAGAGCAGAAATCACTCTTCCAGTCCAGTTCATCTGGAGTAAGGAGATCTTCGCCTCTGCTTCGTACCTCTCCGGACAGCATGTGCACGAGGCCTAGCTGCTGATCAAGGACCAGCGCCATCTGATCTGCTCAGCCTAACACAGAGGGACGCCTTGTGTTCGTTCGTTCCTTCAAGATTTTTTCTTCCCTTTTTTTTTATCTCGCTTTCTTTCC